TGGAGGAACCTTGTTCCTTCTAGGAGTTAGTGAGACACTGAGTGGGCAGTGGCAACCAGTGTTACAGATCAGTTTTCAGCCCCCATGTCCCAGAGTGGCAGAATTTAGCCTAAACGATGTAAAGACTTTAAGAGAACAGTAGATTACAATGACTGACAATTAAGTACTCTTTTCTTAAAGCCTTTTAGGAAAAAAAAAAAACTACAAAGAAATTTCTCACTATCCTTTTGTTTCTTGCTGTCATAATAGCTCTCTGTAGGCTTGCGTAGGCTTTATGCTCGTGCACAGAAAAGACAACAGGGTCTTGGATAAAGAAATTGCTGAAATTTCCCTGGAAAAAGGATTCAGGGGTCATTGTTTACTGTAGTCTAGCAGAATTTCCATGAAAATTTACCAGCTCAGGAAAGAAACTACTCCTCCACTCTGCTGCTGATGGAAGAATTAACTTTTTTAGAGACCCTGTTGATTTATGCTGCATTTCAGTGTAGTTTTGTCCTTTAACTCATGATAGTTTCAAGTAACATGCTAGGATTATTAGAACTGATGGATTCACACACGCCCCCCACCTGATACTTATTAGTTTGGATGTAATTGGTGTTTTTAATTATTGTAATTGCTTCACTTAACTCATCTGCAACTTATTTGTTAGTGCTTGCCTGAGGCTAGCTGTATGTGTTTAAGGTGTTCACAGAACTGAGATCTTTGTATTCATTTTACTCTTAAATAAGGGATAGATTTTATCTGTTTTTCCACAGAACAGTAGAGAAGGGTTCAAGTCCCCATGCCCTTAGGAGTCAAAGTGGCTCTCCTGTCCCTGAGGGATTCAGCATATGCTCAGAGACAGATTTCAGTTGTTCTAGACTGCCTGTAAAACAACAACAGCAACCAAGAACAGACCTCCACAAGGTCTGCACTAGTCTGTTCAGTGAGCTTGGCTATTAGGATGTTATAGCATTTGTCCTCGAATAGTGGGAAGGTTTCAGGAAAGTCTGGTCATTCCTGGGGACAGTGAGGCCTGAGCCAAAACCCGTTAAAGTAGATGAAATGCCTCTCAGTGAATTTAGTGAGTTTTCCTCAGCCAAGTCCTAGTGGTGTATTTGGACAGGATCATCATGACTGTGCTTCTACATATTAGTAACCTACGAAGTTGTGCTTACATTGTGAGAAAAGGCCCAGAGAAAGCTGTGCTCACAGGAACCAGCGGCTCTCGGTTGCTGCTCATCTTTGCTGTTTCTTAATGGATAGGCATGATGGCAACAGCTGCCTTTATCCAGAGTTGAACAGGTTGGAAATACCTCACCCGGCCAGCATCTTGCCTGCATATGCCAGTGCAACACAGAGCAAGTCTGCCATGTCTGCTGCATGGAGGTATGCTTCTGTCCAGTGCTGCGCTTCAAATTCGGAAGAGTCATTCAAAAGAGTAATCTAGATAACACAGGTCAGTGTCAGGTACCAAGCCACAGTCCCTTGCATGCATTGTGGCTGCTGTTGCTGAAATCAGTTCTCCCATGTTCTTCTCCTGCATTTTTGTCCATTTGCTACCAGGACAGCAGTTTCAGTGGCACAGCCTGTCACATGCTGACCCATTGGTAGGAAACTGGCTTTTCTTTAGCATCCCACACCTTTTATTTTTTAGGGACATACATGTCAGTTACAGTTCACATTGAGTAACTTATGTGCTGAGTGTAAGAATGTTAATACTACTTATGTTTACCTCTGGTGCTTTTGGAATGGTTTCCTTTTTCCTACTGGAAAACTCTAGAGTATATTGATCTCAGGCCATGTAAAACAGCATCGGTGATGTCAGGGGCATCTCATTCAGGTAATCCTGGTACAGAGGTAATCTGAGTTTTCCCTGAATATGTGAATATCATACGGTGGCTGGGAATCTAGGAAAAAAGAGGGCTTGGAGAAACCCAGACAGAGCAAAAGATCAAGGGGGGACTGAGCAGGAATCTAGAAGAAGCAGGCACTGAGGGGGATAAAGACTGCAAATACGGATGGGCAGTGGTAGCAGTCCTCTTTGCCATTGCAGCATAGAGCAGTGATTTGAAAAGCACATAATACCATTGCTAACAAAGAGGAAGAGATCTTGCTTTAGAAATAGAAGTGAGAAAGATTCCTCCTACAGCAGGCACACAAAGTTTTCATCTTCCCACTCACACCACTGCTCCAACAGCATGCAGCCCTGTTTGCATCCTGGCAATTTGCATCCTGGTTTGAGTAAGTTGGGAGGCTGGAAGTTGTGGTAGAGGAAAGTGCAACTGCTGAACCCCTTCTGATGGCAGCATGCCCCATGGGATGGGTCTGGAAGGGATCCTCTCCCTCCTAGCTTGAGCCTCATGCTTCCCCTGTCTCGAGGGGGAAAAGAGTTTATGAAGAGATTTTTTTTTTAAATTTTTTATATTGCTAGTGACTGCTTATTGGATTAATAGCTTAAACATACTCATCCAAGGCTGCTGTAACCTAAGCAGCCAAAGTCCACTTGGGCTGTGGCTGAATTTGTCCTATTGTCTCTCCTTTACACCCACAGTACAAATAAAAGCTGCAGCTTCTTAGGGCTGGGTGGGAGGGAAGAGGCGGAAGAGCCACTGGAGTGTGGTGTTGCACTGACAGTTGATGTGCATTCCTTGAAAGCCTGTGCTTCTCATCACTTCTGGATATAGCAGTATGACAAGTCATTGAGAGACAGGATGCAGTCAGTTAGGAGTGGGACACTAAGAAGACTGTAGGGTCTTTATGGGAGAGTTATGGACCAATGCTGACTGCTGATCAAGGGATGGGGAAAAAGCAGTGTTACCCTGAAAACTGGTCTGGAATCTTTGAAAACAAAATCTTTGGCAGGAGTTACATTCAAAGGGGTCATTTTAGTTCAGAATGATGTTTACTTCCAACTGTTCTTTAAATAACTTAAGGCAGTGTCCCTCTGGAGTAGAAATGTCAGAGACCCAAGGGCTTTTGCTATCAGTTAAAACTGGAAATCAGACTATACAAAAGTAATTTAGCTTTGCTACTTGAATAACAATATTTACATTGCACTTTCCTCCAGAAGGAGGCTATGGACGTTTGTAAGTGGTGCACAAGAGCGTCTCATCCTCCCTCACTAAACAGCAGCTAGCTCTCTAATAGGGCCAAGTTGCTGTTTAGCGCTGCAAGGTTGCAGATTGGAATGACTTAAGGCAAATAATATGAAAGGATCATTTAAACCTGCAGAAGGTATTTATGAAACTAGTTTAGCTAGAGCTGGTAACATCTGTGGAGCTGCAGTAAGTGCAACTGACTTCATGATTCTCAGACATCCAGGATTTTCTTTGGATGCTTCCTCTCACTGGCACAGTATGTTTTCAAAAGTATTACTGCTCCCTGGGGCACTTATATCAGACCAAGAGCGACTTAATTTCAGCTTGAACTGCATTCGAAACCAAAGTTAAATAGGAAGAGGCAATCTTATTTCAGAATTAAGTATGCTCATGTGGTGATTATATTGTTATACTAGTTTAATTTGCAGCATAACTTAAAATCTTCTTGTGAAGGCAAAGCCTTAAAAGAAAGATTGCTTGTGTCTGTGAGTTCACATATCCTCTTGATACGTTCTGAGATAGCCACAGGGTTTTGCCCTCACACAGTGACCAACGTTGCTAGAGGAGACCTTATAAGAAACGTGATATAAGTGAACAAGTTTGGGGAAGGGTGGTGGGGTCAGAGTGTGATCTGAAGAGGTACATTTTGTCTGTGTATCATTGCCTGCAATTTCATTTCTTGTGTTTTTCACTTCTGTAGAAGTACAGTGTAGAAGACAATAAAAATGATATATCCTAAGCACCTAAATCATCAGATCAATATCCCCACTAGACAAGACGTGGTTGTTTTGAAGGTGGATTTTTCAGGTTTTGAACAATGACCTAAACTTGTTTTCAGCGGAATCGATGCCTCCCATTGATTTTGGTGAACTGCAGTTAGGCCATTGATAAGTACTTCTGTAAATGCAGCCTGATCCCCAACTATACTTGATCTCAGCAAAAAAACCCTCGGTCCTAAACTGTTGTGCACAAGGATTGTGCAGCTCCATTTTTTTTTTCTCCAGCAGAGTGGTATCGTGGTCTAGTGACAGAAGAAATGAGCCTGCTTCCTTGCTTGTAGAGCACTTTGGGATCCCTCAGAGTGTAACATGAACACCAGTGGGCTGTGGTTCTCTCCCACCCTTGTTTCAGTTCCAGAGCATGGAGACTTTTTCACCTCTAAATTTTTTTTTTTTATTTTTTTCCTTTCTGCCTTTGTGATGGAGCGCTAGGCTGCTGTTGGTGAGCAGCTGTTGTGTTTCCCTGCCTGCAGCAGTGCCTGGGCAACTGTACTGTGTGGCTGCCAGAGCAATGCCCGGCTTTGTTAAAAAGTAACAGGATTGGGAAAGAGAGTGGGAAGCAGGAAAATCCATGGCCTGGAGTAGATCCTACAGCACACTGTCAATGGGTGCTGAGGGACCTGGGTGACCTCCATGTCCAACTAGAGATGCGTTTTCTATGCATCTGTCACAGAAAGACTTGCCTGCTGACTTGGAGAAAGCCGTTAATCATGGGGTGATGCTGAATTTTCTGGGAAAGGAAGTATTGCTGACAGTGGCAAACAGCTTATGTTCATGTCTCATGGAAACTTAAATGTGCGTAAGTGTGTGTTCAGAATCTGCTGTCCCCATACTGTGTGACTCAGGCACAGAAAGGATCAGGTGTGGCTAAGAATAGGCCTGTGATGTGCACTATGACTGTTTTTTTTATTTCTTGCAGTCCTCTTTCCTGTAGATGGTATGGCATTTTATTTAAGTATTTGTCCATTCTTGGTCTTATGTGCATATTTTTGCAATGATGATCATAGTGTCTGTTTTGTGATTCCACCTTTGACCAATTAGTGAGGAACAATGCAATGTGCATGAAGCTACGTGGTCGGTTTGTGGCAAGTCAGGATTTCAGCTTTTGTCCAGCTTAATATTTCTTTTCTTTGTATTTCAGAAAAAGGCATGGCATACAATTAAAACCATGGTTAATTTACCAGTCATCAGCCCATTCAAGAAACGCTACTCGTGGGTGCAGCTAGCTGGGCATACAGGTGAGACGGATATCTTCAATGTGTTTGTCTCTGGAGTAGGGATGGCAACAACAAGGAAAATAGTGTTTCTGTTTCCTTCCTGGAGGTACAAGGGAAGGAGGCAATACGACATAAATCTGTGAACTAGAACATACTCCTTTTGGTTGTGGTGGGGATAGGGAAAGGGAGTGATAAACCTGAATAATGAGATAAGCAAGGAAGCAGTGGTCAGACTCTGGGCAAGGCCAGGTGCCCAATGCATTGGGTGATATATGTAAAATATGTGTTAGAGGGAAATAAGAGGGACTGGAGAGTTGAAGCCTTAGTCCATCTGTTGCTGTTGGTTGTGTCATTTTTCTTGACTGAGTAGCTAATATGTTAGTTCCCTAGTGGGAAGGACTGCTGTATGTGCTTCAGCCCTGGCAAGGACAGTGCTTCTAATTCCAACCCCAAACTCCTGATCTGAATGTTAGCCCGCAGGTGGAAAACAAATCTGGTGAAAATTGACTTGCTGATCAGGTGTTTGCATTGTGAGTCTGTCACTGTTCACTGTATGAGTGCAAGGAGCAGCTCAGTGGTTCTAGTTTTGTGTCTATAGAAGTTGGTAAGTGTGGTCCTGATGTAGGCTTTGCATCATTGGAAAAAAAACCAAAACAAAAAACAAAACAAAACAAAAAAACAAAAACAAAACAAAACAACCAACAAAGAGAAGTCATGAGGTTTGCTTCTCTCATGCTTTGTTTAATTCCTATGCAGCCCTTGTTCCTAAGTGCTCGTGTGGGGTTTATTAGTACACATGTGGGCAGGCACCTACGCTGCATCGTGCTTTAATGCAGTACCTGAGCCACCTCTTTATATGCTAATACACTAATATGGTGCACTTCAAAGCTGTGCAGAGAAATTAATTTAGTGCTAGAAATGGAGTAGGTGCACTTCGCACGGTGGTGTTGGTGAGCTGATGTCTATCACTCGCGAGTGCTGAGACGACCCAGTCTTACTGCAGTTTTTATCACAGCGTGTATGGGTTTGGCTTGATCTGTGTGGAGTGATGCCCTGATTATGTAATCATAACCCTTCTGGAGGCTTGTGTAGTAGGGTGGAAGAGGATAGCTAAGAGGTTACTAGAAGCTGATGGAAACTGCTCCAGTTTGCTTCAGATAGTTTTCTGTGGTTGTGTTTAGTCCATCCTTTTTGCAGCTGTTCTCTGATATGACAAGCTCTTTCTAAACCAAAATGCGGGCCATCACCACCCTTGCCCTTGTGCTGAGGCTAGTGCTGGTTCTAAGATTTGTCAGGGAAGAACCAGTTTGCAATGGCTAAAGGGTCCCACTGCAATAAAAGTTGAGTGTTAGCCCCAGGATTAATGAGGCTACTACTTTGGCGCACCCACTTTGTGTCATGTAGATTAAAGGGTACCTCAGAATGAAACGTGTGCTTTTCTCAGATGCTATTGGCAGGTTGCAGGACAGGAGAGCGTCTGGACAAGGAGGCTCCAGGCAGCTGGAGTCTAATTACTGCTGATCTTGGCCTATGCAGAATGTCATTTGTACTGGATGCCATTCAGAGACAGGGTTGTAAAAAACCAGTTGCACTACAGGCTGTACCTGCAGATGAGCAGGGCCCTGGAGAAGAGGCAGTACCTGGAGGCACATTGCATGTGTGTGGAAAGGGCAGTGCTTGGCTTCTGGCCGGCCCATGGCAGTTTCATGATCGCTGATTGACTGTACGGCCTCCGTGCACACACACTCGACAGGCATACCCTCCGTGGGGATTAACGACAAAGCCACTGCTGGCAGTGTCATGCAGCTTTAAAATAGCCTGTCAGAGGATTAATGAATTCTGGCTCGTGGCTTCTTCCTGTGCATTTTAGTAAGTATAGTAGTGCTTAATATCCTAACAAGGAGTTTAGCATGAAAAAAACAACAACAAAAAATAAACAACAACAAAAAAACCCCAACAACAACAAAAAAAAAAAACAAAACAAACAAAAAAAAACCCCAAACAAAAAAAACCCCACAATGGCCTGGAGCAGCTACACGCCTTAAAGCTATAAATTCTGACATGGGAATGTATCTAAATGGACTTTCGCTGCCAACGGCTGTGTTTGTCCTGGGAGTTTTGTTTTTTTTATGTAAAGCATGTTATTTTTCTGTTCAGGGGAAGTCTTTAACTGGTGTCATGAAGCTGAGGTAGATGAAGCTGGAGTGGCGAGGGAAGGTGTTTTTCTTTTTTTTTGCGGGTCAGTCTTGTCAGCATGTGTTTGATTTTCTTTTCTAGGGAGTTTCAAGGCAGCTGATAGTGGGAAGATTCTCAAACGTTTCTCAGAGAATGAAAAGGAATGTTTTGAGCGATTGATGAAAGACCCACTACGTTCCTGTGTCCCTTGCTTCCATGGTGTTGTGGAGAGAGATGGCGAGAGCTACATTCAGCTGGATGACTTGCTTACTGATTTTGAAGGGCCTTGTGTGATGGACTGCAAGATGGGTATCAGGTGGGGTACATGAAAGAGAAAGTGCTTTCTAACCCAAATGCATTTGAAGGATGGGGGAGATGTGGTTATGCTCTGTCTGGAGAAGTTTGGTAACATTCCTGGAGCCTTGGGATTCAGTCCAGACAACCTGTTGTTGGTTTGGCAAACCTGAGGAAAGTATGTCCCACTGTTGCCTGATTGTACATGGATTCTGGAAACTGATCTATAGCCTTGAAAACTGTCCACACCGAGACGTTTTCAGGGGTGATTTAAGACAACATTTCTCTGCAGTAGCCTGATAATACATGGGAAAAAAATTACATGACTCATTCACTGCCGGTTCATTTAATCTTCATGTATGCAGTGATTCAAGAAACCCCAGAAATTAAAATTCCCATCTCCAAATGAATGACTGAATAGCAGTGTGAAAGCCCATTTCCAACGCTTGAATGAGTCTTCACTGGTATTGATCTTTTCTGTAAAGAAGAGGTGACCATCTACTCAGGTCTGACCTGTGTTTTCTCCCTACTCTGACATCTCTGTGATGCTATTACCTTGTCCTCCAGATTTTCATTTTCTTTCCCTTTTCTTGTCTGTGATTGAGAAAAACCTCAAAAATGTTACCTAAGCATAACAAATAGATAAGGAATCTGTTGAGAGCCTGGAGTAACAGTACAGGGAGGTATGAACTGTTGGAGTAATCTTTCAAGTGCCAGCTCAGATGCTCAGGAGTTACTGTCATGAATGAGTTATTCAACTTAGAGTGAGTGCAGATAAGCCTTTTCAAATAGATGCAAAATATTAAGTTAATTCTCAGCTAGAAATGTGTAGCACTGATATGCCCAGAAGAAAGAGGAGGATTTGCAGCAGTACATATTTTATAGAAAGTAGGTGACATACTGGTAATGAGTTTCAGCATCTCCTAAACACCAGCCTGGTTTATTACACTGTGATGAAGAAAGTACGCTCCAGGCACCTGACAAGATGCAAGCTTCAGGAGTCTGGTGGAATGCAGAGAACATGGACAGTGCCTCTCTAATGATTATCAAATTAACAGGTTGAGTGATAACAGCAAAATGTGGAAGGTTTGTCACCCTTCACCTTCCCATTCTTAGTTACGTTGTCTGGTTTGGAACTGCTCAGATAATCTATCTGCTTTACTCTTTAAGTTTTACTATATGAAGAATGAATCTCTTTCTCACTGTGATGCATTAAGTAAAACTTTTAATTGTCTTCTGAGGCCTAAAAACCCACACTTGACTGATGTTAGGTTTTTTTTAAGAAGAGACAGTAAGACTTAAGCCCTATTTGCTTTTGATTTCATAGTAAATGATCTCTCCTGTCATCTGAAAATACAGCTCTATTTCTTGGCACAGTAGGAATTCAGCTTTCTCCCATTCTGTAAGCAGGATTGAAGCAAAAACATGTAACAGTAAGTAAGGGTGTAGTTAGAACAAGAAGTGAATGACACCATTCCTGATTCCTGTGGTGGTTTTGCTAAATATGCCTGCAGAGTCATCAGTCTGTGTTCTTTCCCCATATCCAGCACTGGGGTAATCATAACACTTACTTTCCTGGTTGACATTTCTTGAGGCCAATTTATAAGTTGTAAAATTAAGTGTTTGGGAAGCCCTTACAGTTTTGCTGGAATGTGATGCTTTTGCAGGACATACCTGGAGGAAGAGCTGACTAAAGCCCGTGAGAAACCAAAGCTGCGTAAAGACATGTACAAGAAAATGATTGAAGTGGATCCTCTTGCTCCCACAGCTGAAGAGAACGCCCAGCATGCTGTCACCAAACCCCGATACATGCAGTGGAGGGAAACCATCAGCTCCAGTGCCAACCTGGGCTTCAGGATTGAAGGAATTAAGGTAATACTTTCACTTTTGCCTGTCCCTGGAGACAGAACTAATTTGATTTGTTGATTAATCATAAAGGTAATGCGCATCAGTAGCCAGGTTTTCCAAAGGATTATGTGAAATGCACTAATCGAAACCACAGAGTTCAGTGTGGTGTGGTTTTAAAGCATCCATTGTACTTATAACAGAGTAGCGTCAGTGAAGTTAAGCATCAAGTGCACATCAGTTATGCCTCTGCTGACATCTCTGCTCAGTTGAACTGCTGAGACCTTGCAGGAAGGACTCCAGCAGGTATGCAGTGCAGATAGAATGAAAATGAGACAGTTATAAGGAAGAACTTAGAACTGAAGAAATAACCACATGTCCCCATACAATTACTTTTTTTTATCTAAGAACTATACATATTTATTCCAAGTGAATCAGAGTAAAGTGTTTTTGTTGCAGTTATGTTCATTTGCAAGGTATGTTAAAGGTATTAGCTTATTCTTGGGAACGAGGAAATCCCTTTTCCTTTTAAGTACATGACAATATCTGGTATAGATGGAGCTGGAATAAAGCCAAAACAACCAAAAATAGAATTTCTCCATCAACAAAGTCCATCTGCTGTTCTTGATGGGTAAGCTTGTGCCCCTATACCATTCCTAGGATACTGCCTTACGGCCACAGAAGAACCTTGGCAATTTTCTTTCCTACCCATTAATTCTTTCTATTTATTGTGCCCCATGGCAGTGTGAGATCCCTACCCATTAGGTACCTGCTCTCAGAATATCAGCCACCTGGCTCAGTTACTTCAATGTTAACACTTGCTGAATCCAGAATTCTGCTTTCTGCTTGCATAGGCCTATCACAGCTGGCCTCAAACTGGTTTGCTTGGGTTTAGCTAGTGGTGTACCTGTAGCAGCACAGAGCGTGGTGAGGGCGGCCCAAACCCACCCACACCCTGGATGAATACTTGGTACCTGAAGGTCATGACAGGACAGTTAGGAAGAAGTTAGCAAGGGTTACCCTGTGTGATTTCAGGATTTTCTCAGAGCATATACATTTAATTTAGGTATGTTAGGTCATTGTGAATTATAGTCTGGATTAGTTTTGTTTCCGTTTCATAGTTCCGGCACATAGGAAGAAAGGGATAGAAGAGGGTGATGTTGATGAGCAGAGGCTCTTTAAACACTCCTTTCTTCTCTGCTTCCCTGTGTCTTCTCCCTTCCTCACTCACAGATTCTCCTGCTGTGATACAGGAACTAGGGCTTCCAGCTCATGCTGTGCTGTCCCCCTGCACGCTGTGCCACCCACTCCTGGCTGTTAGACACAGGCATCCTCAGGCAGGAACTGTCTGGGTGGTAGATGATCTGGCTCCAGTCCAGCCAAGACACTTCCTGCCTTACCCTTTAGCCATCTAATCATGTTACCAAGATACCTGTTTTATTTCTATACCACTTGGGTCTTTTGGATGCTCTGTGTAATGGAATCGGAAACCCAAATGATCTTGAAACCTTTTACATATGCTCTTGGAAAGATAGTCGGGCAGTGTAGAAGATGTACAGATTTATGTTGAATCTTGGAAAGTGACCGAGCTGAAAGAGCACAGGGGAGCTCCAGTAAAATCTTCTGGCTTGTTCTTGGCGCTTTGGTTGGTTATCGGAGGTGGGTAGGAGCAGTGTGGCATGCAAGCTGCGTGGTATTTTCCTTTGGTGAGACAAAGCTGTAACTGCAAAACAGGACACAAATACTTAATCCTTGATTAAGCACAGGAAATTCTTTGGCGTACTGCAGTAGGTTACCTTTTCCTCTATCTTCCTGTACTGTTATGAGGGATGGAGGTGGTATGTTGTTTTTTTTTTTTTTTTTTATTTTACATGGAGAAATGGTGAAAAAGTGAGCTGTTCAAGCAGTACAGCTACTCTGTACTCCCTACACTGTTTCACCATAGCTGAACTTTATGTCCAGTTGTGTATATTTGCAGAAAAGTAAAGCCATGCTGCAGATATCCCCTGTAAGGATCAGTGGTGCCAGCTAGTGGTTGATGGGGAAAAAGGGGGGGGGGGGGGGGGTTCTCCCCGAGTGCACTGATACCTGCTCAGCTAACTGCAGGAGTTACGGTGGGTTTGGTCATTCAGAAATAGTCCTGTCCTGTGGCTGCTGGAGTAAGAAGCGGAAGCCGAGAAGGTGAAATCGTAGAAGCCCATCTGTGAAGTGGCTGCTGATAAATGAGGTCTGATTCACCATACACACTGCTTCTTCATCAGTGGGGTACCTTTTCTCTTCAGGTTGATCCATCTCTTTGCTTTGCCTTGCTTTTGTATCTCTGAAATTGAGTCAGGTTCATTTCTGGAATTTGTCACTCTTCCTCTTACCAGAAATAGTTCGAACCATTGGGTTTCCTTACAGCTGGCACCTGACACTCAGTCTCTTGTGCCTGCCAGATTGAGAATGCAGGTTTCCTCTCTGGAAGGGACTCTCTGAAGGTAAAGCATCACAAACATCATCTCTACAACCCTAAGCTAATAGTTTTGAAGAGCAGAGATGCATGGGGCTGAGAATTGGGAGTTCTGGCTTCCCATTCTGTCATTGAGTCTCTGCAGTTTGGGAAGTTGCTTCTTCCTTAGATACCATTCCTTTACCTGTAGGTCAGCCATTCTCCCAGGAGAACATCAGATTTGATTCATAAGCCTTTGTGAATCCATTTAGGTCATGACCTGAGCCCTTTAAGGGATGTCTGCAGAGGAATCTGAGCAAGAGCACACAGGTTAAGATAGGTAGCACTATTTTATGGAGCCGCCAAAGCTGCCCTCCTGCTAGCCACGTCACTGTCGCAGCTAATGAGAAGTGCTGCAGGAGGCCCAGGAGCTGTGCAGGAACAGATGTGGAGGTGTAAAGGTGTGACCACAAGGAGCGAGTCAGACGAGCACCTCCAGGGAGCCAGGTACATCCACAGTTGTTGCAAGGGCCTGGGATAGAATACGAGGGATGGTGCCATTCAAAATCTGGATGTTGTTTACAGCAAGACAGGCAGCAGTTACATTTCCTGCCAACCACTTCGAAGGAACTAAATCCTTAAAAGTGTTTCTAAACAGCGGGGAAGCAAGCAACTAGTCTGGCCAGACAAAATTGGATGAAAAGGGAATGCACAGCAGCTATTCCAGACTTGCGCTGGGATTTGGGGCGTGGGGAGAAATTATTTTTAAAACAGCCTTACTCCAGTGAAGAGGTACGAGACATAAGACTAAGTTCCAAATTTCTGTGTGCTGTTGGGTATTACCATACATCAGATCAAATGGCTCCTAACTTTCACTGCCTACCTGCTGAACTTCTCTTGCGTAACTTACACATCTCATCAGGCTGACATGCCACACTTGTATCTGGCCCACAGCACTGGAAGAAAATTCTGTTTATTCTGCTGCTAGAAAGTCTGGTAGGTGGGAGGCTGTTCTGCATGGCTTTGCCGTTCAGTCAGTTCATTCTCTTGCATGATAAATCTGGAAATTTAGCATTATTGGATTTTTTTCGTGTATATACTAGGAGCCGAGTTCTGCTGTGGAGTAAATAGTGTTTCACCTGCTGAGACTAGAGCTGAATTTACCCAGTTTTGGTGCAGTGACTTCTACACGTAGGAGGGAACACATTTCGATGACCTGTTGATTTCTTCTTATAGTGGAAATGAGGGATTTCACTGGATTCATACAACGGAGTGGAATACAGTTTGGTAATCCTGCAGGCTTTTAGTGCATACAGGCTACCAGCTGCTGTATTTTACATGCATGTTCTAAAAGCTCCTCCTATTTGTGTCTCCTGAAGCAACAGGGATGTTCTTGGAGAAATGCATATTCATATAGTCTTGTTGACAGGTATCTCCGATTTCATATACTGTTTTTATTTACTTGTAGTTCCACAAGCACAAGCTGGTTACTACCAGCACATGAAAAGGCTTGTCGTTTCAGTAGCAGGATGCTTCTGTACTGAGCCTTACTGCTAGCACAAAAATATTCTGAATTTCTCCAGCAGGCAGTTGGATACAAGCATGCCGGCGCTGTGCTTTGCCAAAATTCACACACCTGCTTTGTCGCTGCTGGCATTGCCAATCCCAAATGGTTCCTGTCTGCAACTAGCTTTCCATTCTGTGACTTCTGGGTCACGTTAATGTGCAAAGGTATATTAGGAACTGGGTCTTAACCACAGTTGTTTGATTTACCCTTTGAAAAACAAAACCAAAAAGGACTAATAAAATTGGGTTTCAGAATATCCCCTTACAGCACCCCCAGCCAGGGTTTGACTACACCAAGCTAGATGAGCAGACAACCAAAGAGGTCACTGTGGTTTGCCCCATTGAACTTTGCACTGCTACTACTGACGTGAGAAAACCCTCCTGCAACTGGTAATATCATGAGTTGGGTTTTGTTTTTTGGTTGTTTTTTTTTTTTTTTAACTGCACTCAACAGGAAATGAAATGCCATTTAAAGTTATCCAATCAGCTTTTTTATCTTTTCTCCTCCACTTCTTGCTTGGTTTATCTGCTCTCTTCCTGTTCAACTTCTCACTTTCATCTGGTTAGCAAGAGCTGAGCTGTTGATGATTCAAGAGGATTGACTGATGAGGAGAATATGTGTGTAGTATAAATTGTCTCTGTGTGTTTTTTGTGCAGAAGGCGGATGGAACATGTAACACAAACTTCAAAACTACGAAGACACAGGAGCAAGTTCTACAGGTTTTTGTGGAATTCATTGAGGGCAACACAACTATTCTGGTGAGTCAGAACTTTTCAGGTTCACTGATCTTTGACCCAGTGAACTCCCTTCAGGGTTGTGCGTCCTCTGGTACAAGAAAAATGAATTAAACTACCAAGGAAGAAAATGGCTTTGATTTCCAGTCCCTCTCAGCAGATGGAGTGGACATGGGGACTTGGTGAGCTGTGAGAAGTAGTTGGCTGAGACCAGTTCTGTCAGCTCTTGCCGTGAGTTCACCCCAAGTTCCACATGCTAGCAAAATGTCAGTCGAGCTAACTTTATGGCTTGCCATCAGCTTCGACCATGGGTGTTAGATGCATCAGAGGGATGATGATGTCTAAGCGAGGTTTGTGTTGGCAGGAGAATTTGTGATTTGGGAATTCAGTCTGGAGAGGCTAAAACCAGAGCATGGGGGCAGGAAGTGAGCTTGGTGGCTGGCTGTGCTCCTGCGGGCGACGCTCGCCTCAAAGAGCAGTTCCTGGGTGCTGCTTCCCGGGGAGCACAGCAGGCGTGGGGTACGTGGCATAACATGTCTCTTGTCTTTGAAACTTCAAAGGGTGCCGTAGTGTTCTGCTGCAGATTAGCCCTCCAGGAGGAGCGTGCTTGGTAACACCAGGGCACCATTAAAAATGTATACTGGAGCTTTAGGCATTAGGCCTTGATTTTTTTTCTTTTTTTTTTTTTAAATCCCCCAGCCCCATGATTGGAGCTCCTTGTCTCTTTCCACTGTGAAAAACTGAAAGATTTTTAATTGCTTGATACCTTTTTCTCTTTATTAAAAAAAAAAAAAAAAAAAAAAGAGGGATGCAGAAAGTCTCACTGCGTCCAGAGCAAGACAGTTAAGTATGTTTGCTGTCACACATGCAGCAGAGGAACTCCAGTCTGTTTGTTTGCTGTGAAAGCCTGTTGAAGTGTATTTTCAGACCGACTTTCAAATCATGAACCTGTTGTTTTGAAGGACCTAAAATTAACACTATCTCTTCATTATATTGACTCTTGTAAACAGACTATCTTCATTCCTTACTTAAATGTTTATGGGCTGTTTTGTTTTTTTTTTTTTTTCTTCTTCCTCCAGAAAAAATACCTCAAGCGTCTGCAGGAAATTCATATCATTCTTGAATCCTCAGACTTCTTCAAGCGACATGAGGTGAGCACTGAGTGTAATGTTGTGGAAGTGTATTGCTGCTTTGTTTTGTTACTTCAGCATAGCCTGCTGTATTAGCAGAAGGGAATTTGTAGTAGAGGAAAACTAATATATGTTAACAACACAGGTACCACAAAGCCTCCATCACAATGATACAAGAGAGTAAACTAGTTGAGGAATAATAAATCCTGTTATCTTTATAACATCCCAGCACTTACAGTTCTGGGCATGGTTTATTAGTACCAGTTTCCTGTGGTCTCTCTAATCTTGGTGTGTTCCAGTGGGAATCTTTACAGGGGAAGGGTAATGTGGAAGCTTGCGTTTGGGACAGTAGCATTCAGTTGTAGTTTGACAAGGAAAGCTTTATTAGTTATACTGGATTTACATTGAAACACTGTAGTATTCTGCTCTATATGTTCTCCTTGTGTGCTTAGCTGTGGAGAAGGCGTCATTAGCATTGTGACTTCTGCTTGTTACAGCTCAGGATTCAGAGATCAGACATTTTATTTTACCTTGCTAATTTCCTCTTGTCACTGGAGGCATTTTTGCTGATCATGGGTCATGGTTCTCTGAAAGTAGTCGCTGGCTTTTGCTGAATTGCTCAAATTGAGACCTGCTGCCAAGTGAGCTGGAGAAGTGCTTTTCTTTCCTCTGTCTACTGAGTCCCTTTTCCCATTTACATGCCCATTTATATGGTAACTGATTGATGTGGTTATGCAAATGGAGCATGTAAATTGTCAATGCTTAAGTGTAGTCCAAAAGTCTGTTGGGTCCCAGGTGAGGAGGTCATCTTTGTAATGAGAAGTGCTGAGTGATGGGGCAGGGCTAAAGATGTGGTTTTAACCACATAATCTGTCTTGCAGGTCGTTGGAAGTTCACTACTTTTTGTACATGATGGCAGTGGGAATGCCAATGTGTGGCTGATAGATTTTGGAAAGACCACCCTTCTCCCTGATGGGCAGACACTGGATCACAGGATCCCCTGGCAAGAAGGCAACAGGGAGGATGGATACTTGTTGGGGTTGGACAATTTGATTGGCATCTTGGAAAGCATCACTGAAAGATGAGTTGAGAATGGCACAAAACTTGCAGGGCTTCTCTGTAACTTTCTGCTCTACTGGGATCACTCAGAAGGAAACCTTTAACTCCCTCCAAACTCCTGAGGTCATCAGTGCAGAGGGAGCTGCATCCAGAACCCAGCAGTTAGTGATCAAAGATCAAAATGGCTTTGCATCGGCCCTCTATGAACCTAAATAACTCCAGATTGGTCTGTATTGCACCAGCCTAACTTCAGACTGGTCCTCAGAGAATGAAGATCTCCATACTCAGGAATCACACCAGCATGAGTCTAGAGGTCTGTGTGGTAAACCAGAATGATTCTGATTTCTGGCAAACAGATGGGAGGACTCCAGATTACCTCTAAGTGAACCAGAGCGAGTGCTTGGGAATTCAGGGTAGGAATAACAGTTCTTCAGGGAACTGCATAGTTTTGAAACCAGCAAGAGTGGTGGTGTGTTGGTTTGGTTTTGTTTTTTTGTTTTTTTTCCCCCCTAATTCCAAGTCTTCTTGCTCCTGTGTACACTGTAGGTTGGACCAGCAACTTATGCTGCATTGTGTTATGGTGTGCAAAAGGTGGAATTGGGTGATAATTGCAAGAAACCTGGAGCAAAGGGAGACAGCGGTTTGTAGTGGCTGGATGTGGTAACTGCTGTTGGCTGTTCCCCCTCTCCCCTACTCTAGCCTCAATTCACTTCTATCCAAGAACAGCCTTTGCTTCTTATGTAGCCTCTCAGGAGATCACCGATACTCTGGGGGGAGAATAGCAGCCTGTTGCCTCCCAAAGCATTTGACTTCCAAACCGGGTGGGCTGTTGGGAGAGCGCCTCGCTTGGCGAGTTTATCCCTCTTGCAGCTGAATGGCAGTTCTGAAAATCAGTAATGACTCTTTTGCACACAGACCAAGGAGCTAAGGGGATGTTTCAAGGCCTGTTTATTTTTAAAGATAAAACCCCTAAACGCACGCACTCATTAGTAGCCAGCAACCAGTGTGATCTCTTAAGATCATGGTTTGACTGGCTCCTAATGCACGTGACTTCTTGGCCGTGTTCCTGTTCCCAAATACGATGCTGCCACTTTCGCGTATAGGCTGGCGCAGCAACCAGGGAGGTAATGTTTCTGCATTCACAGCATTACACTAATGGCGAGAGAATTCCCAGGCATCCTTCCTCCAAGTTATCAGCTGTTAACTCAGGGCAGTTTGGGGGGAAGGAATGCCAGTGTATCACACCCCTTAGTCCCCGTCTGGAATCGCAGAGCCATCTGTGGTTCATTCTTCTTTTGCTGTGGCCCAAGCACAGCCACAGAAAAGTCACAGTTTTTGGGTTAAATCAAGGAGGACTGAAATGATTTCTTGTAATGGCTTCACCTACCTTCTCTGGTTGCTTCTAGTCACTTGAATGGTTCTTTAAATACTAGCAGTATAAATACTATCAGTATTCACGTGTTCACTCACATTTCAGGTTTTAACATTAATAATGCGATGATGCAATTTTCAAAATGAGGATGACTTATATTTCTGTCTGATTGTTAACTCCCTTTTAAACATCTAAAGCTAGTAATGTACATTGATCAGAAATTAATGTCTTTTGCTGGTGTCCTGTGCTCAGGAGAGGTTCTGAGAACTTTAGGATATACGAAGCTGACTCTATGCTTTGGGAAACTGCCGTTTCAGTAATAGTCATGATTATGAGTAAAAAAAGACTGTAGAGTCCAGATCTGGAATGAAATCTATAACATTTGTAATTAGAATTGAAGAGCCTAAAATAATTTCTGAAAGGAGTTACTTTAGATAACACACTACTGTACTACGCGATCAGTCAGATTTAATGACTTTTTCATCACCTCTAAACAAAATAACAGTATTAAAAATTCAAGCTCAGTTGTGACCTAAAAGGTAGATGATGTAGAGTGGGTATTCTGTAAGAAGTAATGACACATGGAAACATTTTAACCTAAACCAGAAGTTGGTTGAAACTGGTAATTATTTTTGCAGTTCACTGCAAATTCAGACTGGCCTCCCAGAGTCTGTCTCAGTTTTATTTTCACGATGATATGTTAATGAATTTTCCACTTAGATGTTTCAGAGGGCTTGTACTTTTTTTTTTTTTTTTTAAAGTGACATCAAGCTTTCAATAGAGAGCACAGGTATTATTATTCCAGATGCCTCCTAACTTTTGAACTGCTATGAAATGATGAATTAATCTGTGGTGAACTTCATACAATTTAAAAAAAAAAAGTCATCTTCCTTCCCTGCAACCATCAGGTAAGCAGTGCTTAAGGAGAATGGGAAGTAAATAGGTCTCACAGGAGAGGACTTTAATAACAATACCTTTTCTATGAGACTGCAGTTCCAACCAGTCCTACCATAATTAAAAAAAAGTAAAAAAAAAAATTGGAAAAGCTAGAAATGGGACTGCGAAAGTGATAGAATTCATAAGTGGTTTGCCTAATCAATCTTCAGAGTTAAATTTCTTCCTTTACCACATATGTGAATCTTTTGCACCAATGTAATTTATTTTTTAGATGGGAGATTCAGAGGGTAAAAGTTGTTGCTCAAAGGTCAGTTAATGATACACAAACTTTTAGAGTGACTGTCCAGTTCTAAAGGAGAACTAGAAGCAATGTGGCACCAGTACCTTAAAAAAACCCAACCAGTGCTAGCACCTGGATGGTTTGCAGTATGTGGTCTCGGGGGAAACCATGGGGAATGATCCCTTCCTCTGCAGTAGTTGAAGAGGTAAAGAAAACCTCTGCTAGAGCAGACCCTGGTCTGGAAACTCATTTGAGGGGATAAATAGTTCTAGGAAGTTAGTTTGGAAAGGGCCCTTTGGCTTGCTAAGGGATTAGAGGGGAAGAAGCCACAATCGGCTGCTGCTGTTACAGGAAAGGAGAAGAGGTGGCCGCTTTTCATTAGTGAACTGCAAGCGTAGGACTGTTCTGTAACAGGGGAGCCCTGAGGGGCTGGAGGCTCTGAGCAAACTGCCCCAGGCTGAGTCAGATACCTTTTTCCCGTGGGCTGGCCCAGAGCGCCTGTTCGCGTACCTGCACTTGCTGGCGCCAGGAAGCAGCACTGCCGCCTTTCACTATGGAGTCAGTTGCCTTGAATAAGCTTCTGTTTACCAGAGGATCAATATGATGCCTTTGCACAGGTATGTAACATAGACGAGCTGATGCATGATAACCCAGGTTCTTGTTCACATACACGTCCAGAATGTAGTTCTTTAATGCCTCCGCTGAGATACTGCCTCACTCTGGAGACACGGAGAACACGGGTGTTTCCCCAGCATGGGGAGAGATGCTGGCCCAGAGGCACCTCGGTGCTGAACAGCCGACCTCTGACTTCGGCATCAAGGTCTTTAAACTCACTAGTTAGATGCAGCAGTGCTTACTGCTGTAGCTGCTGCATTCCGGGGTGAATCGAGCAGTAGGACTTCTCTCCCTCAACGTTGTCAGAGATTTGTTTTTTTGGCCTTGGACAGCTATCCTAGGCCTTGGTTTCATTCCCATTTTACAGATAGGAATAGTACCTACTTACTTCACAGGAATGGTGTGAGGCTGTCCATTATTGCTTGCAAGATGCTGTGAGATTCTTTGGAGGAAGGTGCAATATAGAATGAGATACGTTAGCTAAAGATAAAAATGATGGGTGTTGGGCCTCCACCAGGATATAAATTTGGATGAAATTTAACCAAAGTGATAAAAATGAAATCCCTCTTAATTTTTACGTGGCTGGAATTCATTTAACGTCTGATCCAGTTCCTATTATAGGGAAAGAGTTTCAATGGGAGTTGGACCAAACCCTTAAGTATCTCAGAGGGCTCTTGCTACTTTTTTTTGTTGCTGTTGTTATTATTTGTTATTATTAAGGTATTGAGATCAAATGGCCTGTATCATTCACATGCATCCGTTCTGAACACTACAATGCAATGCTGACCATGGTCACTTTTGACATTGACTGTATTGGTTGAGTGTTTGTTACTCTGAAGTGTGTATGCTACTAAATAAATGAGACTGAAGGAAAAAAGACACGCACTGTGATTTGGTCACAGGACAATATCTTTTCTTCAAACATTTCCTTAGGAAAGGAACAAAACCTATTTATTTCAGTGGCTCTTGTGCTTGTAGTCTTTAGCATCTAATATTTCCTACACCAAAACTGGTTCTAAGACATCTAGAAGCTAACATTGGAGCTTGGTTCCAAAACCCATCTTACCTGTGTGCAAAGAGGACTTAGCAGAGAGGGAAATGGCCACCATTGGTGTCTCTTTATTTTGTGGTACAAATATAGAAGTATATACTTGTCCAGCTTTAAACTGCATAGAAGCCGGTGTGTCATCTACTTATGGTCAGGTAAGTTGGCAAGAAGTGCTGCTGTGGTCAGAGGTAATGATAAATCAAACCCAACTCAAGTACATTAAAGTCATGTGATGAGAGGGGAAGATGTTAATGATGTCATACCTAAGGTGTCTCTGCACCAGATTGAAAAGGTCAGGCTGCCAGGAGGAGTGAGCACGGCCATGTCTGCAGGAGAAACTCTCACAGAGCTCTGCTGCTCGAGGGTCTGTGGAGGTGGGGTCCCTGGCTGACACAGCTGTGCAAACACGTTGGGAAAAACCATACTCCCAGCAGTAGGGTTTTCTTCTGTTTCAGGTAAGTAGCGGGGAGGGCACTGGAGGTGGAGTGAGTTACACTTGCAAAAGCCCATAACTCTTTCATTTGACTTGTGAAGTTTTCTTAGTGCACATCTGCCTGTGGGCAAACCAGTGGAGAACTTACCTCAGGAAAAGGGTTGATAGGAGAGGGACACCTTAAATCTGTGCAGTTAAAAATTCTGTTTCTTTAAAGGGAAAATGAAGATACAAAACACTTCAGGAGAGAAAATATAACAAAGAAATCAGAAGCAAAAATACTAACAAATGTGAAAGAGAGGGAAAGACATTGAAATTTGCAGTATTATTTCATCTTTTGTTATTCAGTCACCTCTTTAAAATGTAGGTATGAAGTGGTATGAAGCAATATAAAGTAACTAATACTGAGCCCAGAAAAAAAAAAAACCAACAAAAGAAAACCACCAACAACTATATACACACAAATCTAAAACCAATTTGGTAATGTGTTAAAAGACAGACACCCGTTAGGAAGAGCAATTTGTAATAATGGGAGAATGCTGATTCTTCAGTGGGGAAGTGTTGGAAGACTTTTCACATGGATTACATTATCCCAGATCTCCAGCTCACGTCATTCCTCTAGGAAACAAAATCAGGTTTTGGCTTTCAATTGCCAAAGTAATCTAGTTTTGACACTGTGGGTTCAACTCATTCATTATGCACTAAAAGTGTCCTTAAAAACCAGTTTCAAGCAAGTTATATTTTGAAATGGCAACAATTGAGCACTATGGAATCTGATTCTATGAACGCTAAGTTTCAGTCTCAAAATTGTAGGACTGCAGGTTGTAGTATGTGTCATTGCAATTGTTTTTGTTTTTATATAATACGGATTGGACAGCATGGAGCATTTCAGCATCACAGCAGAAACAATATTAGCATTATTTCCTCCAATGTTTAGAGATCAGATATGCATAAAGAAACTGTTACAGGTCAAAGATTCATGGCAATTGTGCTGACAGAAGATCATTTACCTTTCCATTTGAAGGAGGTAAAAGCTTATGTAAAATTCAGGTTGCTAATGTAAATTCTTTTAGAATTCCCAGCTTTGTCTTTTAGTGCCCACTTGGTATGTGCAGCTCCCTGTTCCGTCGGGTCACAAGACCCTGCATCTGGCTCAGTACATCCAGAGCTACCTGCTGTTGTAAACCAGCAGAGCATGTCCAGGAAACAACCGCTGCATGCTCACTCTGCTCTTAGAGTTGCCCTTCAGCACCCCGCTGTTGGTCACTCTTAGAGATAAGATACTGTGCAGGAGGGAGTTTTATTCTGGCTCAGTGCAGCTTTGTCTACATGCTTCTTGTAAGTACCTTGATGCAGCTGTTTGGTAAAAAAAACCCACAGATATTTGTCCAAAGTACTGGACTGAAGAAGTTGCATTTTATTTATAAAATGAAGGCAACAGCTGCAGCCAAGACTGCCTGTGACATTGGTAATAGAACTGTGTTCTTCTCTCCCTTCACTTGACAATGGCTTACCTCATTTTATCACTAGTGGCCTTTCTAAATTCTGTTGAGGCAAGTGCTGTGTGTGTAGGAAGACAATGGGAGCTCAAGCTAGGTGACCATGTGGACAGCAGGGATCCCACCTGCTTCTCACAGGATTATATTAGGGTACTATATAGTCGTTTCCATGTGAAAAAATTAAGAATTGTCTTGTGCCTGGTATTTTACAAAAAAGTCTGCAGGAAGAAAGGTGGTGTAGTTAACTTCCCACAGCTTCTGAATAAGCCAGTGTCTCACTCCTCTTACCACCGATTTCCTACCAGTGCTGCTGGCTAAGGAGTAGGAAAATTGAAAATTTTCTGTGCATTCTCTGAATGACTCTCTGAAAGCAGAGTGAGTCATCGTGGTCATGGGCACGACCTTGGGTGCTCTGCCCAGGACAGAACCTGTTACAAACGAGGATTGGAAGACGATCTGCAGCTGACTGAGGATCTCTGCACTCTGCAGGGAGGAAGGGGCTGAGTTGCTGATGCCCAGTCGCAACTGTCAGAAACTTTGATAGCTCACCTTTGGGGAGAAAACTACTAATGCATAAACTATAGGACTAACATCATCTGAAAGGCAAGGATGCAGAAGAATAATTGATGTTACTTCAATTAGCTAAAAGTAGATTTATTTATTCTTGACTAGCATGTTCCAGAGGTGACCAGCTTGAAATGTGACCAAAACTGCTAGCCTCTGCAAGAGGAAAGAATGAGAAAATTTCCTGCTAACTGGGCTTTTCTACCTCCTCTAACTGGGCTGTAGCAGCTCCTGGATAGAAGATAGGACAGGCACTGAGCTAAATGTAAGAGAAGCCAGAGAGCTAAAGCCAAGGTGAAATGGAAGGAAGGGCACGAAGCAAGGGCAGGCGTCTCCCTTGGTCACTAAGCCCATCAGTCCCTACACCGCGCCTGGAATGGGACCTCAGAGGGACCGCTCTGTCCTGACCACCTGTCACTTCACAGCATGGATTGGGAATTATTTCCACACCATACGGGCCATCACCGCTCAGCTCTGCAGATGACAGTACAGAAAACTACTCATTCTAAAGCCAAAGGCCTCAAACTAGAGGAAGCTTGGGAGAGGTACAACATGGTACAAACGTGCGCTGAAGATGCATTTCACTCAAGATGGATTCAGACTCTCTATTCTGTTCTTTTCTGCACCACATCTCAGCAGCGTCCACCCCCCCACGATGCAGAGGACAGGCAGGCTCTGGGGTCAAAGCAAACCCTCTCCTGCCAGCCCACAGCTTCAGACGCGTGAAGCTTGTATCAGAGCACACCTTCCCTCGGAAAGGAACCAGAGTCAACAACCACCACCTCACCAGGCAACTTGATTACACCTGAAGGCAGCATGTAATTTGCCACTGGAGGTTGGCAGCGCAACATTCAGGAGTGGGACAAAGACAAAATACTTTTCAGACTGTTCAGGTTAATCCAAATTATTTACTTTTTCAGCCTCCTTATTTTGCAGGCTTTAACTAGTAAACATCAGTTTACACCCTAAGCAATAGAAGAAAGCCTTAAAAATGAGCTGTCTTCGAAACAAACAACTTCCACCTTTACCGGCAAGTCTGTGTGCTTGCAATGCAAGAATAAATGATGACCTGCTCAGGTGTGTGAAGCCAAGTCAGGATTTTAGTGTTCTCAAGTGGTTGAGCTATTCTACCTTCCTGTGTAAAGGGCACTGTAAGGTAGTGTTCGTAGTAGTTGCCCCTCCCTTGCATTACTTTGTTTCTACCTTAGAGAAGTAGGTATGAAAACCAAGAACAATGCCAGTGCATCAAATGCCAGACAGTTATCAGAGAACCTCCGCTTAATGCTTACCGCCATAGCACAGGAAATTACTGCTGAATATCAAAGTACTTACAAAAAAATGAAGTTCATCCCAAGTCAAGTCCACTAAAAGATAAAAACAGTCCATTTCTCATCGTGCCATGCAGCTCACCCTTTCTTGAAAAACCACCTGCCCCTTCCATGCCAGAAGCTGTGAAGAAAGCAACACTGTGAGGCAAACAGTACATTTCCTTCACTATGCAAAGGACTACTGTCAGCTCCACCAACTATTTTTTTAAATAGTAAATTTGTTTTCCTCTTCATTGCTTGTTTTCAAAGCACATGCTCAGAGGAGCCTGGATTTTTTTTTTTTCGTCCTTTCTACTGCTTCCAATTTGAGCAGTAGCTCCATTTTCATGTTTTTCCACAAGGTCTGCTAATAAAACAGATGCAAATGTGGCTGCTATTTATTTACTCCCTTACAGTGCCTGAGCAGCATTAGTAAGTCATCAGGACTGCAAAAAGCTCTCGGGAATATAGCAGCCTTTGCAAGTCGGTTGCTGCTGGCACAGCGTGTGGTTTTGGTTTCTTCTGTCAGAAGCACAACCTGTGTTGGTCTTTATTTCCATCCAAATGCTGCAGTTGGATGGTAGGTCCATTTCTTTTCACCTGAGCAGATTGAGGAGTCGTCCTGTCATTAAGTATTGTATTCTGAATCAGAGCAGCAATGTCACTGTTCTCCACCTCTGAGCTGGTTCAGTGGAACACGTTTGATGGGCAGAGACGGAAATGCAACTGCCTGTAACGATCTGGGGATCCAGCAGGTAGAAGGAGGAACTAAGTAACATTGCTGATGTTGAAGTATCACCCATCTGAAGGAACTTAAATGGAGGAAGTAAGTGAAATAGGAAGGAGTCCTTCCAGATACACACACTCCCTGATCTTTGGAAGAACCGTTTCTGTTATACTGGAGTAACACTCAGGTCACCTGACAGAGACAAACCGGAGTCCCTCTCTCTCGACGTTTTTTCTGTTTTATAAAAAGGCTTTTCATCTCCATGCAGACTGGAGCTCCTTAGCACAGTTGCTCTGACCTCTGCCGAAGCTGATGGCTGGTGGTCAGTGCTATAGCACAGGTCATCATAAGCATAATTTACATTGCCACAGGGGAAAGTCTGGAGTTTCACCAGTTCAATCCCACTGATATCCAGGTGAGGGTGGTTGCTTCGACTTGGAGACGCTGGAGATGCCCGAGAGCTAGGGGAACTGCAGTTCCCATCAAAGCCTGAATCGTCCCGCTCTGGAGTTGCTTTCAGCTTGGAGCTGGGGTTGAAATGACAGATGTTCTCTAGCACCCAGGATCCATAGGTTGGGTTCCAAAGATTTTTCGTTTTGTTTTTAAGTCTGTGGGTTGGTGGATTGCTGAGCTCCAGCTTCTGGTTGGAGGTGTGCTGGAACCAGGCCCCGCTGTTGAAATCGCTGAGGCACGGCAGGCTGGGCCCTTGAGCCGTCAGGTTGCTCAGGTTCTCCACCAGTAGCTCTTGCGGATGTTGTACAAGTTTGTGCCCAGCATGGTGGGAGTCCAGTGCTTTAGGTGTTGTCTGAGGTGTGAGAGAGGGGCTTACCAACAGGGGCACTAGCCCACTGGAAATGTTGGGGCGCGTGACCGTACTCCCTTCATCCTCTGGTGCGGGGCCACATTCCACGGGCAGCTCCGTGTTGATCACATCCGGGTCCTGAAAAAGAGAGACAAGAATCTGTTACACCCCGAGTGCCTCCAGGGTGACTGTCACACCTGCATTTTAGAAGAAATAGCTGTCAGAGCAAAAAAGCTTTTGGCAGAGGTTGACATCAGGTTTGCTTGGGCAATATTCCTGCACATCGTATCAGGTGCTACGTGCCATCTGGATGTCGCATGCTGCTAGGACCTGCAGAAATGCTCTCTCATTTACGTGCTTCCTTTGAGCAGAGGTTCTGCTTTATTGAAATCAGTGGCTGAGCTGGGGGTCGCTGGTATGTAATTTCTCCCTCAGGAGGTTGGATCCAGGCCTATAGCTGTAAAATGCTACCAGATCATGAACTCGCCCTCCTGCCATCTCATCCCTCCCCTCCCTATCAATTTAGCTCTGGCTTTCGAGCAACCTTAGGCAAGGTCAGAATGTGGACCTTGAAAGAGATTCTAAATCTCTTCCATCACAAAATAAAGGACATTTTGCTACTGAACAAGCTGAGATCTGAAATCACCCACTTGCACAGGGACAGTATAATCTCCTTTTGGTTGGGCTGAAGATGGAAGAGTGAGGATGAATACCAGAAAACCCAAATGAAAAGAGCAGTTAAGTCAACAGCACCACCACAATTGGGAAAGTAATTAGATCAGTCTGTTAGGAGTCTTCGCTTGGTTTGAGCACTAAAGCTAGTGCTTTTGGGTAGCTGGCATTCCATGGATCATCCTCCACCTGGATACCAAAGACTAGTACCTGTGTGCAATACTTGATTCTTTCCAAGATGGTGGAGAAGTTTGGCCGATACTCTGGGCTGTGCTGCCAGCACTGTGTCATGATCCGGTACCTTAAAACGAGTGTAAAAAAAAAAAAAAAAAGTATCAAGAAAAATAATTCTATAAAATGTGTTTCAGTACAAAATGATCCTGGTTCCAGAGAAACTGCACTTGGTACATGGCCCAAAGGGGGAGAGGAAAAGTGGACATGTCATTTCTGCATCCTGGGATCCTGAGCCATTAGGGGAGCACTACTTAAAGCAAATCCCACAGTGCTCCGAGCTGTACACAAGAGGCAGTGGCTCAAGAGACCTTCAGTAACACCCACCTCACGCAGGGGGCAGTCGCCATCCCCCGACTAAAGGTGTCCACTTGCCTTTGTCTAAGCTGTTCGGTACCCGCTATCCCGTGGCGTGTGGGAGTAAGGAAATACTTACACTGGTCCCGGACAGTTTTTTGGTGGATCCATTCTTCCTCCACTAGTGACGAATTCCAGCACTTCCTGGTTGGTTTTGCAAGGGTAGGGCATGTAGCCTAGAGAGAAAATCTCCCACAGAAGCACACCAAAGGACCTGTGTCAGAAACCAGCCAACACCACCAATTAGGTTTCATTTGTGCTCCACCAACCTGACACGAAGCTGGGTAGGTAACACCACAGCGGCAACCTTTTGAAGCTGTAGGCCAGCCACAGTAATGTGCAATTTGTGTGATTATGAGTCAACTTCGATATTAAAAAAAAAAAAAAAAAAAAAAAATCATTCAAAATAATTGCTTAAGCTCCGAAACTGGCTTTTCAGAGGTTTAAAAAAATTCGAGCAACTCTGAAGTTGTTTTTTCTGCTGCATCTGTTATTTCTAGAGCAGGAAATGCCAGAGCACCCTTTGCTATGTATGGTCTAACTGAAAAGAACCGTTAGATCTGGCATGGAGATTCTACCTTACTTGGGAAGACTCGAGATGTCTGAATTGGTGTTTGGGAACGGAATGCTCAAGAATAAAATCAAGTAAGAGACATTCAGTGAAACTGAAAGGCGGCAGCAGTGTTTATTTTTGGTCATGATACAGTTGCTCTTTTTTTACCTCCACAGGTCAGTCTGGCAGTGCCACTGAAAATAACGCATGTCTTAGACCCAGGGGAGTCAAGAGGGTTCTGCCAGGACTTCAGCAGGGTCAGAATTTACAAGTGCCTGTTTGCTGCAAAGGTGGAAGAAATTTCCAGTAGACCCACGTTACTTATAATAGCCTGTTACAGGAACTGTAGCACTTTCCTTCAAATTATTTAGTACTGGCTGCTCACAGTTAGGCGCTGATAAGCAATCCCTTGTCTTCCGGCACCACTAACAACTTCAGGAAACTGGGTCAGTGTGGCATTTAAGGGAATGTCTCACTACAGTATATTGAAGAATCTGCTGTACAGGGAGAGAGACGTTCTTAAGCAACTGGAAAGCTTCCATCCCCCAGCACCTGTGCGTGAACGTGCTGCTGTTGAGGGGGTGCTTGTTTTAAAGAAAGATGAAGTTACATGAGGAATCAATATATAAATATTGTTTCCTCAGCAACCAGCAAGGACTTCTGATGAAATCTGCTGTCATGTTGTATACAACAGAAAGAAATTATACCAAAAAAATTATCCTGGGTGGTACAGAGTCATTTACAACATATACAAGCAAGCTGCATCACGGATAGAAACTGAGGGTTGAGGGAAGTGTCTGATAGTTTCTGTTTGGATTCTTACCTGAGACTTCTTGGGAATCTAAACAGCTTTCTCTTTTTACTTCTTAACTGCCTTTCTATGACAGTCTACATTTATGTATAGTGAATTTTAATTACCTCCCATTACATTAGATTTTAAAATTCTTGCTCAGAATTTGTTAGCCATGCTTCTACTGAATGCAGAGGGAAGACTTGTAATATTTTTCTGGGATTCTGTAATATTTTTCTGACTTTTTTTAAGGCTCCTGCTGAGCAGACTTTTTTTCTTGAGCACTGTACTTCTTGACCCTTATCGCTGAGTAGCAGAAGTGCTTAAAAGACATTTGTTACCAGGTATCAGTCTTGGAGGTGAAAATGCCCTCTAGAAAAGCTTCTGGTGGCATCCACTTGACAGGAAGCATGGCTCTTCCTCCCTTGCGGTAGTAACTTGCTCTGGGAAAGATAAAATGCATAGAGAATGTCACACAGCCTGAAAGAGCTCAGATATATAAAAGATCTTATCACCACAGCAACAGCAGCTGGGGATTGCATGTGGCAATGGGGCCCAAGTGAGAAAAACAAAAAAGTCATCAACACAAATAGTGCACTGAAGCTATTGTAAAATACAACTGTATTTTATACCCTCTTTGGAACTGAGATGGAAACAGCGTGTTGTAGGTGCACAGCTGAAGACATCAAATTTGCCAATGCTTTGCACAGTGCACTGATGCAGCAAATCTTAACATAAACTGAGAATTATGGTTTGGTTTGTTTGTTGTTTTGTTTTGGTTGGTTGTTTTGTTTTTTTAATTTTATTTTTTAATTTAAGATTATTTATGATCAACTAGCTCATAAATTTGCCTGTGCTTGCTTTAGTGTCCACATGTGTTTGCAGTGTTCCCTGATGCCCAGTCTGGAATAAATACAGTTGAAGTATATTTGCTAGTAGGCACAGATGTGTTAATTTACAGTCTGTTGACTCCAGTTAGTTAACTGGTAATCAAATTCAGACACATAATAGACGGTTCCACTACTTCAGATTCTATGAGAGAGTTCAAACCAGTCAAAATAATACAGATTACCGAGTTCTTCACAGAACTGAAATGGCCTTTCACTCACCTGTAAATATCCCTGGCCATCCCAAAGTCACCAATCTTGGCTATTCGTCCTGCTCCAGTGCAGGTCAAAAGGCAATTCCTTGCAGCTATATCTCTTTAAAAAATGAAACAAAATTATTAATTCTAATTCTAAACTCTGAAGTAGCTAAAGGAATAAAGAAGAAGATTAGACCCAGTCCTGCAAATCTTAGTCGAGTCATCTTTACATAAATGAGAAGAGCCTTATTAAAAATAAGAAATAATGCCAGCTACATTATCATTTTTATTAACCACAATTCTTAAACTGCGTTCACATTACATTTTGTTCCCAGTGTTTTCTGAGTGTTCCCCACTCCCATCTCCCTTCGCTAAGGCAGAAAACAGGATCAGTGTCAGACCAGGGACAGATCCAACCTCTTTTGCTTCAACCATATTACGAGAGATTGCTTTCTTGTTATATTTTTTTTTTAAAGAGTGGCATCTCAGCAGTGCCTCCATCAGTTACACACGTGATGCTATTGGGTAGTCTTAGTAAACTGCCTGAAAAGTCAAAGTAGGACCAGATTTGGTAAACTATTGCTTTGTTGCTTCTGGATATCTCCTGTGGAACCCAGCAAAGCTACATATGGGAGCTGCCGTTTGCTGGGTGCAGGTTTAGCTCGTGACAAATGGCAGTGATGACTGCATGGCCAAGACTGAAGGATTTTAAATACGCATTCTGAAAAGGAACTCATTAAAAATCATAGCACTGTGGGGGTCCTGTTGACTGCCAAGAAAAATGAGCTCCTTGAACAACTCATATGTTTCTTCCCACTGCCAGCCTTGAAAAATCCCTCAGGATTTGGAAGTCAAGCTCAGATTTCTCTTCCATCATCAGCTGTGACTCCTAGATAACAAGCTCTGCCCTTAGTGACATCTCCACAACCCCACCACCTCACCTTTTCCCTCTAGGATACCTGCGATCTGTAATGGTAACCTTCTTCCCTTCCCGACCCGCTCTGAGTAACACCGACATCACTAACAAATACTAGTACAGAACCGGAATGAAATTCCTTCTATACTGATTGCTGGAATTGTTGGCTAAAACAAAATGAGTCCATTCCCAGGCTGCTTATACTAGAGGTCTAACAGTGCAAGAACTGACCCAGAGAGTTTTTTCAAAAGTGATATGCTACTGTTAAAAGAATCAAGCATTCGTTCCTTCCATTTCTCTCCTGAAACGGAGATTGGTCTTGAGCAATAACAGCTAGCCTATCCCTTTGTTGACATAAATGTTAGAAGCTTTATGTGATGACTGCTGGGCTCACTGACATATAAGAAAACCAGGGAACATCTACCTGACAGCAGAAATGAAAATTGGTTTTGTAAAACACTGGTGGAGAAAATTTCTGTTGAGTTTCTACTGGGTTTCATGCAGCACGAGCAAAAATTGGCCCTTATCATAAATTCAACAGATCAGGGTGGGTGGAGGTTGATATTACTATTATAGTAATGATTTTTAAAAAATTAATGCAGTAGCAATTAACTCTGAAGTTTCCAGTTAGAATACTGACCTCTCACGTGTTTATTAAGAGATCCAAGAACCAAAACTTGCTGCACGTTCTTACTGCTCTTTTTTAATGACAGAAAACTTGAATCCTTTTTTCAAATAAACTTACTTATCGTTCCAATACAAAGGAGGCTGAAAACTGTCTCAGATGCTCTAATCATAAAGCCACGATGTATCCCATATCTCAGTCTCCTGGCCTCTTGCTCCGACTGCTGCTGGCCACTTGTTTCCCCCAGTTTCCTCAGTCTCTACCCACCCCTGCCTGCCTCTGCCTCTTTGCTCTGTGCAATGGCACACGTACGTACACGTGCTCGTGCGTGCGTGGGGGTGAATCAGTTGCCTCCTTGCATAACTCCAGGCTGCACGTTGGTTTAGTTAGAGCCTGTGTAACCCTCTTGTGTGCAAGCCTCTCCTTTCCTTTACACACAAGCGCCGAACTCAGCATGGAGTTCATACTTGGGAAGCAATTCAGTTACACACCATGCCTGGGAACATTACGAGCTGAACAACTCTTAGTCAGAAGCAAAGGAGTCCAATATCCAACTGGGATTTTAAAAGGCTACCTATAATAACCTTTACCTCTTCTATAATAGTTTGTTCTTATTTTGAAGCCTGCCATAACAACATTTTTTTGCTCTACAAAAGAGGAAAAAGAGGCAAATAGGGGCTCCCCAAGACTACACAGCAGGTCAGCCACAGAGCTGGGGAGGAAGCCTTAGAGTTGTGTTTTCACCTCCTGTTATCCCTGTTCTTACCCTTCTCCAGTCAGTGGCTCAAATAGGATGGGCTGACCTGGGTTGATGGGTTAGGGAAAACGTTAAGATATGGAGAGGAGAAAAGGGAGAAATGATCCCTTATTGTTTTACAAGCTAACACAGAGTAACACCACCATCTAGCGGACTACAGGGCTAATCTCAAATGTTCCGACATTGTAGGCACCTGAAAATTAACACTTGAAAACCATCAATGGGATCAGAAGATTCCTTTCTCCCCAGCAGTGCAAAGAGCAGTGCAGAGCCTAACTCCTACCAAAGACCGGCGAGACCAGCCTGGACATCTAAGCACAAGCCTATTTGGTAGAGGAAATCTCTGTCTCCTCTCTGGAGATTAGTTCTGTCTAATCCACCGCAGATAGAAACCGTCTGAGCTTCACGCGCCTTGAGATACATCAGAAGGGACTGTTTCTCCTCACCTGTGGATGAAATGGTTCTCTTCCAGATATTTACAGCCGCAGGCAATATCCCTAGCTATGTTCAGCAGGTCCTGCATTGTTAGTGTGGACGGCTGATTCTGGAAAGGGACACACAGAAAATGGTAAGGAAAGAATAGTGGAGTAGAAGAATATAGTTCAGGCAGGGGGAAATCAGAGAGGGGCAGAAGAAGGAAAAGGGAGACATGAACATACAAGGTTGGGGAAGGGTTAAAGGAGTCAGGAGCAAAGAGGAACATAAGCAGATCAAAGTAAAGAGTTAGGAAATGAGTAAACTCTTATTTAAGCCAAAAAACTTTCAGAAGATTTCACTTCTGAGCACAGTGCATGAGTGCAAGCTGGTGAGAGATTTATGGCCTGGCCTGAGCAGCCTAGTAAAGGGGGTGGGAGAGAACCATTCCCTGCTGGTGTTGGAGTCTGTGAAATCAAAAGACAAGCAGGTTTAAAAGGTGAGATGGAGAGAAGAAAAACGACCCATTTTTAAAGACTGAGTTAATAAATTATCAACAGAAATTAGCACGTGAACTCAGAGAGAGAGAGCAAAGACACACGAGTGCACATCTCTGCATCAGCAGTCAGCATTCATCAACTTGTCCGCTCTTGTGGAAGGACAGAGATTACCCGCAGGAGCAGTATGCAAAAGAGGGATGCTTTGCCACAGGACTCGGGGACTGGTACTAGCCCTTCTCCATCTGCACTTCCCTAGGCAAGAACAATAAAGAAGTCCTTCTCCAGGAACCCTGCTTATTTTCATCCCATCATTTATTTCCCCACAGGGAAATTTCCTTGGTGTTTCTCCAGAAACTTCTGTATTGCTCTCGGGAAGGGTGGGGAGAAATTACTACACTGCTGATCAAAAGCCCAAGAGATATCAAATAAATTGTTCTTCTTAAGGCTGCTTTTGTTTCGGGATGCTGTTATCACTGTAATTTCTCATGCTCAAACCACATAATATACACTACAGTCATTGAGCACTATTTTAATTGGCTAGGCAAATTATTGTACAAAGCCCTTGGGCATCTGCCAGGGAGAATTATTATCATTATAAAGAAGGCATTTCTGGAAAGGAAATTAAGAGCAAGGAGAAGAAATAGAACCACAGACTTCCAGACCGTATCTCTGCTCAGGGATTCCTCTGTCAGAAGACTCTGATGGACACACATTTTCTCTGCAGCCAGGGAAACTTGTGAAATGCATCAATGATGGGGCCAGTCCTCTTTTCAGAAAGGGTGTACGGGGACATTTTTTGAGTACTAAGGGGACTTCAACTATTGTATTTGCTACCTCCTAGCATAGCAGCGGGTTTATTTTCACATGATACCTAAAAAATAATTGTTCTTTACATTACAACTATACATAATATTCAAGTCAGAGTATTTATTATGCTTTGCAGCCCACAGACTTTATCTACTTGCAGAAATTGTACCACTTTCACTATAGATACCAAAAATAATGATATACAAACTCCTCCATCTGGGTGCTGTTATACCACTGTAAGTACATTTAATTAGTATATTTACTCCTGTATGAGGAAGAGATTAAGCTCGATCTTTCGCAGCGTGTTAATACCAGCATAGGAGCACACACACATGAAGCCGCATTGTCATAACTATTTGGGGCGTGCGTGTGTGTGGAGGAGAAGCTGTGCAGCTGCACCATGTGGTGTAGGAGCACAAGGCACCAGCCAGCCTCCTCCTGCCCCTGTCGGCAGCCAGCATCCACACCTCAATACAACAAGAGATCATGTAAAATCAGGCCTAACTCTTCTTTTTTTTTCAAGTCTCCACTCAAGTGGAGATAAATACTTATTTAACAGAGGCGCTCAGGATCACACTGCTAAGGAGCAAGAACACGTATCTATAATCCTCTATTCACTATAAGAACACTGAAACTAATTAATTCTGAATATTCACTGTACTTGGTTGACATCAATATAGTATTAGAAATCAGAGATGATTTGCAAAACCCCTCATAACAGCTTTTTAGAAAGTGCTGCTTTTTTTAAAAAAATTAAAATATTTGATTTGATAATTTAATTTGCATTCATTTAAATTCCTGTCGCAGTACTACGTGCAGGCTCAGCTCCTCAACTGGTATAAATCTGTGCACCTCCACATGGTGCTGTGCACACCTGCTGAGGACCTAGTGCTACAAATTTCCATTACCGCCTATCAGCGTTACAACTTCAGCTCCTCACACACCATCACACTGCACAGAAAACAAGACAGACACTGAGGAAAGAAAGCCCCTTAATTTGTAGTCCAGTTGACAGAGAACTCTGGAACGGCAGGACAGGATTTTACTCTTTCCTCCTCAGTTACTAACAGCCTGGAGTTCTGGCACTGCTTTCATTTTCTCTCACTGATACCTGCCTGCGTCAAACAGACATATGTATCCAGAAGTTTGTTGGAGCTGGGGCACGTACACAATCCAGTTCATAAAAATAACAACAACAGTCATACTAAGATCAACCCAAGCCTAGCAAGGAAGTTATCTCACCGCCCTGGGTCGATTCTGCCGAAGAAAGCTCTTCATATCTCCTCCAGCCATGAGCTCAAGCAGAATGAAGCGAGGCAGCGTCTGCAGGCTCACGCCGATGCACTGCACGATGTTTTGGTGATTGAACTTACTGAAAGTCAAAATCACAGCAACACAGAAGAGAAAGGCAGCATTAGTACCCGGCCAACACTCCTCAGTCACTGTGCCCTGAGCTTTGACAACCTGGATTGAAGCGAATCCTGATGCAGTGCAAGTTACCAAACAAATTCCTACTTCACCCATATCGAAAAACCCCTCTGATTATGACTGCTCCAAGATGAGGGTTATGCCTGGCTTCGTCCATGAAAAACTTTCAACAGGAGGTATGAAAAGCTGAAAGGAAAGCAGAGCCTCCTCTCAGTGAAGAGAGAGAATTTAATGGACACACTGGCTGCAAGATGGAGGTGGCGCGAAAGGGAAAAGAAAGCGAAGCACTTCAAATATTATTGGCATTTGTGAAACAAAATCCTGACCGGTGGGGGTTTTAATTCAGCATTGGTTATTTTAAATATACTGCGGTGTAGTTTGGTGGACTCAGTTCAGTATCTAGTCTGCCAAAGAGGGACTCGGATACTGCAGCAGCTGCTTATCTGATGGCTTTCTGCCTCTTACAAAGGAAAGCTGAGATTGTCAAGAAGCTCAGTAAGATTCAGTCATTAGAAAGCAGCATCTTCCTTTGGGTAGTGATTACCTGGATAATACAGAACTAAAAACTGAAAGGAAGTTGGGGAAGAGTCATATACTACCAAGTGAATCAAAGCACTCTGTAATCGAATGAAATTGCCCTTTAAAAAACCTCATACATCAGTGTTACCTCCTGTTCAGCTGCCAAAATTCTTCCAGACTTTAGGAAGTGGCTTTATGTCATGAGATTCATGCTTTAATAGCAGAAAAACAGCATCTAGGTATGAGTTGGGCCAGACAGTGAGAAGAGGAACTTCACGTGGCACAAATTAAAAATGCATGAATTCTGATCACTTACAGTCATCCCTGACTATACTATTATTTTAAAGTCACCCTTGACTATACTGTTGTTTTAAGGTTAGGGATTTGGGTTAATAAAGTAAATTCCAAGACTGGAGTACTTAAAGTACACATGGCAATAGGAATGGCTGTCTGCTACCTTTTTCCAGGCAGATTTTATAGATCTCATAGTTCACTGTCAGAAGGTTGTGCGGATCAGACCTTATAAACGTTCTGTCAAGCTTACAAAGACATCAAAAGCCAGAACAGATCTAAGAGAAATGGCCACAGTGAGAAAAGGGCTGTGTTCCATCTGTGCAAGCTACACTCACAGAACCATATTCTACTACCTTATCCCTACAGAGGTTTTAGAGTTTCTCAGCTATTTTTGTGCAAAGAGAGGGTAAAAGTCCAGGACCTTCACTGCAAAGAGTGTGCACTTATGGAAAAGCAAAAAGGCTACATGAACACTTAGCTACTGACTGAAAGCCACAATGGGAAAAGCTTTTCATACTTTCTCTTTCTTTAGCTGCTAAACTTGCTCTTATAAAAACTCTTACTTTTCTTTGCAAGAGACAGTACAGTCTAAGCCCTAGCATCCAAGCTTAAAAACGTACCTCCCTGGCACAGCCTGTGTTGTACCACTTTGGTGCTGGTCTTGCAGAGGCTGAACATCTGAGTCACTGCACAGGTGGCTCTAATCTTTAGCTTTTCTATTGCTTTCCATTTCATCATTGAAAATTTGTTTTAACAAGGACTTCAGGACTTGATTTATATTTAGTAAAAAGGCAATGGGATTCATTGAAAAGGAAAACATTTCAAACGCAGCACATGTTTGTAGAAAAACGTTGTGCCTTTTTGCTTCTCTAAACGTGACCAGCAGTACCAACAAGCAGAAATTTTTGTTGAGATATTGTACGGTTTTTGGGTGGGATAGAGTTAATTTTCTTCACAGTAGCTCATATGGTGCAATATTTTGGATTTGTGATCAAAACAGTGTTGATAACACATTGGTATTTTAGCTATTGCTGAGCAGTGCTCACACATGGTTAAGCCTTTTCACTTCACCTCACCAACGAGTGGCTGGGGGTGCACAAGAAGTGGGGAGGCGACACAGCCAGGACAGCTGACCCCACCTGACCCGAGGGACGTCCCACACCGTATGATGTCATGCTCAGCAAGAAAAGCTGGGGGAAGAAGAAGGAAGGGGTCATTCAGAGTTCAGCATTTGTCTTCCCAAGTCACCGTTACGCATGATGGAGCCCTGCTTGCCTGGGGATGGCTGAGCACCTGCCTGCCCGTGGGAAGCAGTGAATGAATTCTTTACGTTGTTTTGCTTGTGTATTCAGCTTTTGCTTTACCTATTATGCTGTTTCTATCTCAACCCGTGAGTTTCCTTGCCCTTCTGATTCTCTTCTCCATCTCACTGTTGTGTGGGGCTGAGTTGCCTATTGGCATTAAACCGCAAGAGATGTGCAACAAAAGAACCTCAGTTAACTTGTTTGAGATAAACAAGTAGCTGAATCCAATAACTCATATGCTACTAAAATGCCATCTGGTGAAAAAGAAGGCTAAATTTCTTTTCTGAACCCAAACAAGTGGATAAATGGTTCTTATTACCTGCATTACTCCTTTTCCCCCTGCCCACTATTAGTATAAAAACCTTAAACTATACCTGATAATCAATGCTTCCATCAGGAAATCCATCTCATCCTGCTCAGAGCAGACTTCTGGCAGGGTCTGTTGAGAGGTAAAGACAGTGAGGACTATCCCACCAAAGAATTGAGAACATTTAGGTGACCACCAAAGGAAAAAGGAAAAACAAAACAAAACAAAACATAAAAGAATGAGCATGTAACATGTGAGTGATTTGCTTTCTTTTCTTTATACAAGATTTAGAAATCCCCTTCTACTCCACAATGTCCCCAAAACATTTGTTTGTTGCTATTTTTTTCCTCTTAAGCTTCTTTTTTTTTCTTGGCTACTCAGATCTATAAATCACCATGGCAGAAAAGCCACTGTGGCAGATTCTCTGTTTGGGTGAACTGATGGTTCTCTGTTGATTTCAAGGGAGCTATATTTATTTATGTTGATAGAGAATCCGTTGTTCTATTTTACCTAACTGTATTATGCAGTCTCCAGGTGACTAATTCACACAATTTCCCATCTGAGGGCACTGCTTCTATCTCACCTGAGCAGCAGGGATGGAGCTTACAAAACAGATTGCCCTTCTTAGATTCTCTTCCTAGTTAGACCACAGCTCACAGCCATTAGGCATGCAGGAAACAAGAGAGATCCTTTACTTTCATCCTACTGCTGGTGCCATACAAAAATCAAAGTTTACAATTCCTAGATGCATCAATGTGCGGAAAACTGCATCACACACGTGCATATGTCATTCTACATGTGACGAATGTGAATCATCAACTGGAATAGTAATAAGGTAATTATTGTTGTATAAGAAAGCTGTGGGTACTGACCTTGATAGCGACTTGTAGAGGGTTGGGATCCCCTGCAATGCCTACCACTGTTCCCTCATAAACCTCACCAAACGCACCATGTCCTAGTGCCCTGGAAGAAAAAAAGAGAGAACAGATGTTACTGTGCCCCTGGATCCAGTGTTGGCTGAGCTATTCTCCTCACCCCATCCAAGAACAGGATTAGAACCCACTGTAAGAGATGGAATCAACAACAGAGTTTTGTTTTCATCTCAAAGCTTCTGAAAAGAACTCAGTATTTTCTGTCACTGCCACTAAAGCAGAGAGGTTGTGTCCTTAATGGTTCTGAACAAATAAAGCAGCCTGCTCAATCCTAGGGCCCGATCACCAGGTATGACAACTGGAAGGCAAGAACGAACTGGAGAACAACAGAATAAGGTAGCTGCAAGCTGATGTCTTCAGAAGACAGCACGTAAGAATGATGAAGTTTTTTCTTCTAAAGTGTACATAACTTTGATCAATATCATCTGGATAGTATGGAGCCGACGAGCAACCTAGCATGTATTTCATTGTGACAGGAAATGCTGGAAAAGAAATACTGCTATAGATTCACAAGGGAGTTGCGGCCAGGTGGCAAGTGTAATCCAGGACATCATACAAAAACACAGCGGTGAAATCCCCTGTGCTCTGTGTGGGAACACAGAACAGGAGACCCATGAACTTATACTTCTGCTTGAGGACTTTACGGAATCAAAATATCTTAGGGAACATAGTGTCACATCTATCGTATTTTGGCTGGCTGGGACTAGGTGCTGGTGCTTTCCAGTTAGTCAGCCATGTGGCCCTTGTTTTCTTGTCCTGGATACTTGACAAGTAAAGCACAAGCATGTGAGCCCTACCTCTGCCTTTGCTTCAGGCTGCCTTTCCTCTCCTGTGGCAGAGCGAGCCCTGCAGCAAGCCTTACCGAAGCAGAGAGATGTTCTTCCGTGGGATCTCCTTCAGCTCGCTCAGAGTGGCTGCCTTCCCTGCAAAGCAGTAGTTGGGGTTGTAATCTGTCATGATGGCTGAGGTGCGGATTTTGCTCAGTTTATATTCTGGGCTCTGCAGTCGTGCTCTGGCCCCTTCCAGCTGCTGCTTCTTAAGGTGATAAACTGTGAGTGGGGAGGGAAATAAAAACGTACAAACAAGATCAACACCTGGAGAGAAAAGGTAATGCTGGACACAGAGAACAGAAGAAACCAACTCCGTAATTATAAATGTTTAAGAAGCATCTTTATCTTGCCACTATCATGCTCTTCTCCACGCTCTGTAGTGATTTAATACTGGATATGCAGGCTTACTCCTGCAGGGCCCTAATCGCCTGGGAGAAACTTAGGTTTCCTCTACTTCTTTGTATATTGTCTGAGGAAAGGGTGCTCCACAAGGCATCGAGTCCCAAAAAGCATATCATCTCCCTGAATGAATTATATGCTTAATTACAGACTGTGACTTCAGCCTATATAGCAGTGGCTCCTGGAGAAACGCCTGCTAAGAGGGCTTTCCAAGCTCTTTTCTCTGGAGCAAATACCAGGACAGAGCAGTCCTTACCCTTTGGGACTAATCTTGTGCCTAACTGTGGGGTGGTGATGTTTTCTATCACTTCTTTCTCCCTGTGCCTCTGCTCCACGTGGGAGACCACAACACTCTAGCTACAAGTCTTACAAGTACTGGCATGTGGTTGGGTGATCTCCTTTTGTCTAATTTAACTGGGAAAAGCCAAGTCAAAGGGTGATAAGGAGTAAATGTTTCTTACTGATAGATAGGCTGCCACAAGTGAGGATCATTCCAAGCACCACAATCACAGCCACCACAGCTAGGAGGAGCGGGAGAGGCAGGTGTCCCTCTGGGATAGGACCCTGGGGCACTGGAAAAAGAAAAATGGAGGTGCATTAATCGCTCTGAAGGTTGCTCTTATTTCAGAAAAAATACAGAGATCATGGCCAGACCATCTTACAAAAATTACAACAAATCCCTCTACAGCCCTGGAGGTTGAAGAAAATACTTAAATAATATTTAAAACATTGTGAAGATAGAAAACTGATAAAACACAGATTTCTTATCCATTCTTCATTTTTTTATAAATGGGTAGCATCACTGCTCACAAGTTGAATCTCTCTACAGTCTCGATGCTTCGGAGTTCCAAAAGACTGTGTCAGGCAGTAACAGTGAATACCAGGCATCAGCTGAACAGGCACAGTAGGAAACTGCTGTGGAAGGAAGTAATTTGTGGCTTAAATAACTCAGCGGTAGGTGGTATGTTATACCAGAGAGGCATTTACACTTAAATATCTGATACACTCTGCCCATTCAGGAAATTTACACTGTGTCCCTTTACAGATACTTTACCTTCTACCTAATCCAAACCTGAATGTTGGAGATGGTGACAGAGATGCAGCTCAGCGTGTAAGGAAAGGACATCAGGAATTTTCAGCCATATGTTTGACTGACATTTCTCATAACACTGTGTTCACTGGAGCCACTAGCTGTAACTTGGGGAACTGACAATCAAAGAAGCCAGGAGGAGAGGTGATACAAAAAGCACACAGGCGTTATCCAGCGAGGCTAAAACTTCACACCTTACCAGTGCAGGTGACGTTGTCGTTGGCTAGCACAGCCCCCACCTCACATTGGCAGACTGGCAGGTTGGTGTCAGGGTCCCGCTTACAGTTGTCCGAGTGGCAGTGGCTGCAGTTAAGATAGATCTGAACCTCCACCTCGCCGTGACTCTCCATGGCTGAACAAGGAATCAGACACAACAGGTGGGCTTAGTTTGTTTTTTCCCATCTTGTTCTGGTAAGGAACAAAACAACCCAAACCCAGCAGGCACCTGCAACTTCTCTCCTCTGCAGGAGAGCAGATTGTCCAACAAAGTGTGGTCACGTCAGAAACCTGATGGGGCCCAGGAAGGAAGAAGGTATAGTGTCCCTCGAGCAAACAGAGAGGTCTTGAGGTGAATTGACCTGTAAGTGTCTGGGACTGAGGATGTGCAGTCGAACCTGATGACTGGTGTTCCTGCTGGCTTAGAGACCGAGAGGAAAAAGGTCCCAGAGCACTATGGAAATATTTAAAGAAATGACCACAGCTAAAGATCTGAACTTAGTAGTGAAATAGTGACTGACTGAAATGCATGAGAAGCAGACAGGAAGAGGGGGAGAAGGAAAGAGAAAACAGAGAGGAAGGAGGAAGAAGAGAACTAAGAGGAATAAGAAGTATGTTGTACCTGCCAGGGGATGCAAGAAGATCTCTCCAATGGGGTTCACAAAAGAGATGCCATCCTGCCCACCAGCTGTGATATCATCACTATCAGAGGCGTGCCCCCCTTGGGAAAGAAGAGAATGGCTAGCTGATCAGTGCTGCACGCTGCAAAAAATGTGATGCCCTTGAAGTATCGCACTCCTTCCTGGCTCTTATCACCTGGGGTCACTCTGCAACCTTCCAGTGATATTAATATGTATAATGTCCTTGACGCTCACTTGACCCAGCCAGTAGCAAGGCTAGTGAAGCGACTTATTTCAATGTAGGTTTCTCAGTTCAGAAAGGTAAAAATATATTTGCTTTAAACTGAAAAAAAGAGATGGAACATTTCCCCTGGGCAACTTGGGAATGAATGAAAGGGTGATTCAGCACACCTTTCAAATACTAAATCACGTAGGAACACTTCTATGACCTTGATTTCCCCAATTAAAGAGAGATGGTGGAGAATAGGGCAGGTTTCATACTGTTCAGCTTGAAGTATCTGTGAATCATCTTCTGCACTGGTGTACCTCTGCACTGAGAGCCCCAGTCCTTAACTGCAGGTGCTCTGAGGGGTACAGAATTAGACATCATGACTACTCCTCCAGCACTTACCTCTGTAGCCTCCGCCTCCTCCACCAGAAGTACAAGCTCCTCCTCCTCCACCAAAGCCACCAGAGGTGGCCCACTGGAGCTTGGCTAGTGCCTGGGGACAAGCTTGGCCCCCTTCTCCACCTTCCAGAAGGGACTTCCCAGCCTGAGGAAGCAGACTCTCATCTTGCCACCCACCACCTCCACCTTCAGTCAGAGAGTGAGAAAACAAAACAAGAACAGGTGAGGGAAGCACAAGCAAAAGGAAGTAGGAGAGATACTGTAGAGAGACAGAGACTGACCCTTATTCATTTCTTAAGTGCCTGCATTCAAGTTAACTCTTTCTCTAAGGTTAAGAGAACAGACAGACAAGCTCTTTGTTGCCATCAATAATTACAAAGTGGAAATCTAATGCACAGCTTGTGGTATGTGCTGCATAACCAGCACCTTAGGACCAAATTCTAGTGGCATTATGGAAATAAGGAGCTCACCACTCCCCTTTGGGACAACTGGCTAGGGCTTTCAGCCATGTGAGATGCCGAATTCCCTGGGGAAATAAAAATAAACCGGATTTCCTCATCTCCCTTTAGTGGCCCCTCTGTAAGGCTATTACAGCGGGAGATGGAAAACCACTGGATTTTTTTGTCTCAGGAATGGATTCTAGGCACAGCTGTTACAAGATCATAAAGAAGCTTCCATTTCTGGTGTAATTTCCACAGTGTAATTGTTATTAGGGCTTCAGGGGAGTAACAGTGAAAAAGTCTGCTCTTCAAAGGCTGTTGTTATAGTGTGGAGGAGCGGGGTCCACCCCCCAAACACCCTTTTCATTGAGCTATTTCACAGAAGAGAGGAGTGCTCCTATGGAACAGTGCTCTACTGGAGCACTCACCATCTGTCCTATGCATTCGCTTTTACCTGGTGACACAGCAGATAAGAAGATATCCATTATAGACTACCAGCATATTTCTAACAACTTCTGCCACAGAAAAATTCCAACAGATCAAAAAGAAGCCCTTATTGCATGCCTACAGGACAGTGTGTGTATTCAGCCATGTGATTCAGACCTTGTGTGGTTTTTAGTGTCTCACCTGCTGCCCCAGTCCTCCCACTGACTCCAGGTGCTGCAGTGCTGTTCTCAAATTGCTCCAGGGGTACGTCATCCAGGGAGCTGTCCTGAGCCTTCAGGTAGGCTTTTCCTCCTCCTCCTGCTGCGATGAGCAAAGGTTCGAAAATCCCATCCTTCTGCTGGAAAACCCCCCATCAAACATCAGAAAAACTTCAGATCCCTTGGATATGTGAACTTACATAAACTCATCAAAAAGCCTGAAAGCATCCCAAAGAAGAGTGGCCCAGGGCCAGTGCAATGCTACTGACTGCTTCCTAAGTTCATTACAAAAATGTTTTACATCGTGTTCCTGGGTACAAAAGTAAACGTTTAACAACACCAGGGTTTGGGGATTTTTTTTCTTTTTTATTTAGGATTGCCCATATTAAAGTGGGATCCTGGCATGATTTCCAGACCTGAGCTGTCAAGAACTGAGGAACCAGTTCAGCTAACTTAGTGACAGTGACAGGTATGATCAAGGATATGAGAACAGATAAAGAATTTAAATTAAAAAGACAAAGAGAGACAGAAGGAGAGGGGGCAAGAGAGGAGAGGGAGACTTCATTTTCATCACCTTTTTTTAAGAACTGAGTATCATATGCCATGACTGACAGTGAAAGCTAGCTGCTCTGCTGGACTCTGCTCAGGCAGGATGCAAAGAGGAAATACTTACTCTAAAGATGTAGGTTGCTCCTCCTCCACCCCCACCTCCTCCAGCCCAGTCCTTCAGGTCCTTTTTTTTTTTGTAATCTTCCTCAATGAGAGATGACTCCCCTAAGCAGATCTTCTGGGTTTCAGGATTGCCCTGAAAGGAGACAAAAGATGCATTCATATATCAGCAAAGTCCAACTCAAGAGTTGTCTGTGTATGTCAGTATAACAATACTGTATTGTTCGTGATGTATAAATCAGTGTTATCTTTGTGGAAAGTGAACTATTCTACAAGGACCAACAGCTGAGGTGTCCGTTACCTGATTTACAAACTCATATTACACGTGCAAGTGAAAATACAAATACTCACAGAAAAAACAAAGCAATAGAGCAATAACTCATTATTGATATCAGGTAATTAATATTTTGCATATTTAGAACCTCTTATACCCAATACCATTAAAATGTATCGAATTACAGATTCATTCTCAGAACTTCCTTACTGCTGTATTTATTAGGTATTTCTCAAGCTCACAAACGCATAAAGCAGACAGGGATGACCTGCACATAGTTAAGAGTGACCTACTGGCACATCTTGGAAGAGGATTCTGAATTCCCAGCTTCCTATTCCTGCTAAATACTAGAGAACACTGAAAAGGCTGAAAAAGCAAAGATTGCTTGTCCACCTTAGATTTTTTTTTTTTTTTTTCTGACACTGAGTTCCACGAGTTTCAGTGACTTTGTAAACCTGCCCAGTTTCACTCAGATTATGAAGTCTGAATGATTTCAGAAACTGCTATGTTGTCTCAGTGCAGATGAAATCCCTATTTGTGTGGGTCATGTCACATATTCAGGCCAGAAGCGTGGTGCTAGTTCCTTTCATTCAAAGAAAAGGACAAAAGATGACAAGGTGGATGAGGACCAGGGAAAAGCAACTGGGGTAAATCTAAGATGAGAGAACAAAGGTTTGAAGCTGCAGAACTTCTTCAGAGAAAAGAAAACAAACTTTAGTTTCCCAACATATAGATTCACCAGGATTTCCAAAGCCAAAGTAAGTTGGGCTTTGGAAATGGGAAAAATTAATGGAAACTTTTTCCAATAGTGTCTGCCAAAGGGAGCTAAGTTAGTGCTGGGCTACACTTTACAATTTGGAGAACAAGCCATGAATGCAAGGGAATAATAGACAACTTTGCAGATTATAACCTAAGCCTAGAAAGCGCAATGGAAAGGGAACTGCAGATACACAAATTTCGTGTTTTATGTAGATAATAAAATTCTTGTGCTATCTAAAGTGAAGAGAGGCTGGTTTTAGAATCTGTTGCAGTATCTGGGTAAGGCACCATATGCTCTGGGCAAGGTAAAGGTTAACCTTGAATGCCTACGAGAATAGTGTATGCATGCCAAAACTCAGCAGTCTTATCTGTGGGAAAAAGAGAAAACAGCTTTATTCCTGGACAGGGGTTGACAGCTCATATTTCTGGAAAGACACAATACCAAAGAATTCATGCTGAAAAGAGGCAACTTTTGAGCCTAAGTGATAAAGAGACTTTCAAATGATTTGGTCTAGCATTAGAGGACACACATATAAGCATTCACGTCATCAATTTCTGTTTTTCATGAGTGGGGTTTTTGTCATTACAAATGCCTAATCCAGGGGCCACTGCAGTTAGTGGGAAGATTCCCAGTGGTTTTGATAAGCTTTGGATTCAGACCTTAGTCTCTAAGCTTAGAGACTATCTAACACAGTGCAGCCACAACGCTGCTGGATGCTTCCATAAATAATAGTAAATTATCTGAAATCCTGGCAGACAGAAAGAAACCTAGGCTGTGAAAAAATAAGAGAGAGAGCGCACAACTCTCGCCTACTAGCTCCCTGCTTAAAATAAGCAGAAGAAAGCTGATGAAGAACTTATTTCAAACACCAGGAGCTTAAAACAAAGTTCCTGTGGGCTTCATATTTGTTTGTCCATTCTGGGATTGTTTTTCTTTTCAGAGTTCTTTATATTTGTTTTAAGATTCTTTCTAACTTGGTTTATTGGTTCTTCCCAGTCTCCTGACTGGATTTCATTGCTGGATTCTGGGTTTTCTATCTTTCATCACCAAACCCCAAGCCACCCACTGAATCGTATCTGCAAAGTCCCTGCCCACGTGTGCTTGTGCAGCCCTCACCCCGGGGCAGGCATCCTCCCCCTGCTGCCCCACTAAGATGTACAGCAGCTCATCTTTCTCCAGCTGGAAGGTGGCTGAGATGAAGATCCCGTGGGACCTCTTATTGTGGTTTTTGGCTCCCTTCCCCCCGGCTGCTCCATAGGCAGAAATCCTGGAAGAAAAAGTGAGTAGTTAGAGACAAATCTCACACTTCTCATCTCCAAAGCAACTCCATCTGCAAGCTCTCCCCAGCCTGCACTTCCAAACAGGCATTGCTTCAGAGCAGGCTCCCCTGCTGCAGCATCTCATGGCTATTCTTTGTCCTAGACTCGTGTAGCTAGGCTGCTCGAGTGGATAGACCCACTCTACACCAGAGCACTGGAGACACAGACTTCAGGAGCAAATAGCATGAGCTGGTATATCCAAATCTAGAAGACCAAGGCTTTGGGACTGAAATGATGGCAGCACTTCCACTTGACTGCATGCCCACACTCCTGTTCCGATCTAAGTCACCACCCCACCCTTCCATGCTCGGACACAGATCCTTACAGCTAGAGCTCCTGTTCCTCTCTTACTTCACTGTCCCCTCCACTCACTCAGTACGGATGGTCCCATGGGTAGGTCTGCTGAAACTCCACAAACAAAAAGTAGTTAATCGTGGCTGCTTCTCCAGCACACACTGATACTCACCTGTATCGGTTTGTGGCTGGCACCCTCCAGACTTGCACTCCCCGGAGCCTGCCCTCTTTCTCCACAGTCACCGACACGTTGCTGTTCTTGTAGGCACTGTCACACTGAGCCTGAGTTGGCCCGTGAGGACCACTGGCACCACATGTTGTGAACCACCAGAAAACAACCGATGTGTCCCCTGCGACCAAAGCAGCAAGAGGTGGAGCAGATGTGAGCTTCCCTTTATTTCTCAGACACGTGCAACAACTCACAGAACCGTATAATCAAAAGGCAAGTGTCACTGAAACAACCGTTCCTGTTGATATCTTTCCTTAGTGATCCTTCAATAACAAAATTCATATTATTACTATTATTCACAGAGAAAATGAATTATTTTTGTATGAAAAACAGATGATCATGAGAAAGACCACGTTGCAGTAGTATATGCCGTCTACAGGGCTTTAAAACTCAATATGTCTCTTTGATCACAGGCTTATTATTATAATCATACCAAAAAATGCTTAAACTTGCATTTACACTGTTGAAGACTTGAAAGCCAGTATGTGCTAAAGTTAAATTTATCTGTTCAACTTTAATGCAGCTCCCTTGCAATATAATCCACTAAGATATAACCCTTAATTATATGATCACAGAGTACTTCTATTATCCCAACATTATTCTAGTCATAGTACACTGTATATAGTCACTGCTTGTTTCCCCTCTCACCTTCTTTCCTGCACACTATTTAATAAATCATGGACTGCAGATAAACCCCATCAACTGGAGGCTGGAAGGGTGGGGGACAGGACTGCTGAGAAGGGCTTTATCCAAGTGTCTCACAGACATTATGAAATTTCTGATCTCAGTGCCAGGAGAAGCAAGGAGATATTATTCAACTTTCTAGATGAGAATTGAAGCATATACACAGAAACAAAGGTGGAAAACATTTGTCATGACAGCTAGTGACCATCTGTGAAACGTGCTGAAAGTTTTAAGTGACTTGTCTCAGGCTTGCACAAGAACCCTGTGGTAGCAGCAAGAGTCGGGCGGACAGCCTCTTGCTACTTTCAGTAGGGGCTCTTCTCCTCCAAGTAGGCTTTTTCCTGGCTCTAATTAAGCATTATTCTTTTGTTTCTACAACAGTGCAGCAGATAACCATCTCTTCCATTTCATAACCCTCATCCAAGACCCAAACATACCGATCTTGTCTAGTCAGTGAGATGGGTCCTAAGAATAAAACTATTCAATAATGTATCTAAAAACTGTATGACGCAGTGCAAGCACAAGGGCCAAAGTCAGAAGTAGAACTGTTTAAGAGCTGAATTATTAAGATAGCAGTAAAAATCACAAACCTTTAAAAGAAAAAATTCTAATCTTGTTTAAAGGAAAAGGCAAGCAAAACTATCCCCAACAGATGTCATCCTGCGAATGCGCAGATGCGTCACTGGGGTAAGACTGTGGGCTACATTACAGAAATCTCTGCCCCCTGTGCTAACAAGGACTGACAGCAGTACAGACTGTCACACTTCAGGTGCACAGAGTCTTCAGGAAGTGGTGAAGTCACACACAAGTATTTGTTGGCAGAAAAACAACCTCAAGCACAGCTTCCCATCCTCAGGCCCTCCTTCAGACAGGTCTTCTCACCCACACGGTTCTCTCTCCTCCAGAGTGGCAGTCCCCACAGCTAGCAGTAAACTGGTCCCCAGTGTGCCCTGTTCTCCTAGTTTTTCATCTAGTTTTTCTCCTCAGTGGATTTCCAGATCCTCATTTACTTCCTCTCCCTGGATCTTCATCCTTACACCCCTATTCTTCATCCATTAGGTTCAGCTTTGCTGCTCACCAAGTCCCAGCAAATCTCTTTTTATTCCTAGATTTCTGTACGGGTCTACACCTTTCATTCCTGTGCTGGCCTTTCTAAACCCTGAATTTGAGTCATGCAACTTCTGCTTTTACTTAAAGCTTCTTTACCTAAAGATTCTGCTTTTCTTTAAAAAGATCCTGCTATTTAAGGACTGGCGAGGGCCTCCAGCAAACTGCTGCCCCATAGCCAAACAGAGACTACATGAGATGGTCTCCACATCTTTGGGATGGACTCTATTTAGTTGCCCTGTTGCTGTGGGGCAGACAGATCACTCAGGGGAGATGGGAAGTGAGCCACCCTTTATAGCCGAGAGACAGGTTTGCAGTACTTGATCATGTACCTGGGAGGGAGGGCTCTTCCAGGGGGTTCAGAAGATGCTCATCCAGGCTACTAATCTCCCGTGGGTACTGGCGCTTCCCACCAAAATGATTTGGTTGTCTTCCTGTAAAAGTTTGTAGGATGGATGAGAGAGATGGAAGGGTGGTAGAAAAGAGAAATGGAAAATTTATAGATCACATGAATGAGCCAAGTACAACCATTTGGTTAAAATAAATAAATAATACCTCGGGCAGAAGAAGTGTTTTAAACAATCATAATTTTGTATTACTCTTTTGGGCCCACCTCTTGGGTTAGCTACTTGTATCTGTGCTGAAATCAGTGGGTCTTCACATGAGCACAAACTCTTCATGTTATCCCATGCAGGCTCCCCTGCAGGACAAGCTCCTTGGCCAGCAAACTGCACTGGCTGTGACTACAAGAGACTTAAGGAAAAGCATGGAGTGGGAGAACAGATAGCAAGTGTCGATGCTCTGCTGGTCAAAGGGACAGAGGACAAATCTGGACAGGCAAATGAGCGGAGTGGTAAAGGAAAATGATAGCAAACATTGCTATCTTTGGTATTGAATGGCATCATTGTAAGTAAACCAGCCTAACAGATTGCTCCCCTTTCAGCAACCAACTCTGGGCACCTCAGACCTTGCTTAGAGAATAAAGTACTAAATAAAATTACATGTCTCACTAGCATACACAGTTAAGAAACAGCAGCATACCCTTGACACAAGCTGCAAATCTTTGGACAAATATTTTTGAAAAACACAGAGTAAAATGCTACATTTCTGACCAGTGAAATGGGCCTTTAAAAATCAGCCCTTTCTCAGAGAGGAGGGACTTCAAAGCAATTGCTGATCCAGAGCATCTGAATGCATTGAGGACACCACACAACCAAAGCTGCCTTGCAACAGGAAAAAGTAATAACTGAATCCTTGTCTTATAATCTGCAAGCATCCTCTTTCGATAATTAAATTACCCATTTTTATGCAGATCTTCGACTGGAAAAATCTCTATAAGAAAAAGGAGAGACTTCCTTCCGTTTTATGAGCCCACAATTAATTTAATACTCAACATTTTTCATCAGTTGAAAAACATTACAAGTATTTCAATTTGTTCCAGTTGTGAGAATCTAACAGCTGTTTGATGCTCTATTCAAGAGAGACTCACTCAATTCCAGCTGGACAATTATCTCTGCCACAAAGCCACTGCTCTAAATAGCGATAATTAACACCCTTGTTAGCTGTGTCAGAAAGGCCAAATAACTAATTGAAGCATGGAGACCTTGCTGAGATTTTACTCCTGAGAATATTCCCCTCAGGTCTGGCTGAAAGCACATTTATGGATGGAAGTAAAAGGGAGCTTTGTACTGACGCACTCTGTTCATACTGAGATAGAGAACTTCAATTGATGAAGCGGTCAAGCCAGCGAAAAATGAAATTAACCCAAAACAAATGAACTGGATCAAACACAAGAAAGAAAACCAAATGAAAAAGACAATGCATGGCCAGAAAAGACGCTTGGTCTCCCAAGGCCTGCACTGAATTATGAATCCCAGAGGTCACAACAGTTTCAGATACTTAGAGACGTACAAGAAGTCTGGTTATATTTGCCAGAGTGAAGGAATGTAAATCACTCTCTGAAACAGAGGGTTGGTCTGTGTGTCTGCATGGATTTTTTTGAAGCATCCCAACTGAGTATCCTAAGGCAATGCATCGTTTCCAAACAAACAATCTTTCCTACTTCTCCAAACAGTCTCAAACCCTCACGCACTAGAAGAAAGTTTCTGTCTCCTCTGTGCTCAGCAGCAGACAAGCTGCAAGACAGGCTGAGCATCACCCTGTCCACATGAGCTGTTAACTCTTAGAAGGCTGATATTTTATGCCCTACCAGACATGAATTTGTAAGGTGGTACTTTCTACAAACATGGTGTAGCCCTGGGATCCAGGGACTCATGCTCCAGTCTATTTTAGCTTCCATTTCCTCCTCTGACAGCCAATATGTTGACTGTAAGTGAATGGAAGGGAAAAAGACTTAATTCATATTAAGACGTGCCTATATCAGAAAAATATGAAGAGCACAGGACTCCTTTCTCCAGACTTTAGCTAATGCTGTTGACCTCCACACTGAAAATGGACAGAGGGAAGTGTAAAGGAGGAAGACATGGCATCTCCTGCAGACAAAGAGCTAAAGTAACTCACTCCTCCTTCTGTCTCTGGGACTGTAATGAAAAAAGATGTACTAGTCCTGTGGCCGGGATTAACCAGCGTAAGGTGCCCTACAGGATCCTCAAAGTGTGCATGGTCTCCTCTGAGATTCAGCCTTACTGGTGCAGGTTGGAGTATTCCTGGAAGCTTCTCCAGCTTGTCCTGGAGCGGAGCTGCACCAGCCTCCCCCTTCCTCACCCCTTTGGCTGATCTACTGCCTTTCTAGTCAACACCTTCTTAAATCAGTGGAATGAGGCAGTAATGAGGCTTGAACCACCCCCCACCATTCACCTCAAGCAATGAGACTGTCAGGTTAACAGAACTTGACTTTGCTGGGTCGGAGACTCCAAAGTCAATAACTAGAGATATGCTATACAAAAGTTTTCTTTGGACTGTCTTGCCATTTATAAACTAGTCTCCTGGGAAATTGTAAATGATGCACAGAATGAAATGTAATCCCTAGGCCAGGGCAGTAGAGCGCACTTTGATAGACCACAGATCTGTGATCTTAACTGGAACAAAATAATACTCAGAGCACCAAAAGATAATAGTAAAAGCAGTGATCACATAAGTACTGATGAGGGCAATAGTCAGCACTCTACATGCCATGCCAGCCCACATTTTCGTACGTAGACACTCAAAATTCAGATCTCTTCCTATTAAAACACTAGTTAACTAAAACAATAACATATCTCTATGCCTGTCCCCTAAAAGTACTCACAATGAACCAGACCCATGTCATCCGGCCTGTGACACTGTCTTACACAAGATGATTGTACAAACCAGAAGGTGATTTCATCTCACCTTTTTCACAGGGAAAACATCTGTCACTGCCATCCAAAGAATGATCTGTTTGTTTTTTGTCCTTATTGGTGTCCCTTGAGCTGCCCTCACTATCCACTTATTTTCCTCCTAAATCTTACTGAATCTTCCCCCTCCATTTTGAGGTACATGGAAAACCTCACCTTCTTTCCCAGCGTGCATACAGACAAGCAGTGCTTTCAGAGTCTGCACAGGGTTTTGTAGAGCAATTGAACTACAAGATTGAAATAGATGGAGAAAATAATATTTACATCCTAGCAAGCAGCAAATTCTTCCTTCCTGCCATACATCCTTCCTGCTGCCCTCATGCAAAGAATTCACTGCTTGGATCTTAATTGGCTCCATCTCTGACATCTGAAACCTCTCCTTGCGAGGGAGAAATAATTTCATTACTGAAAACACAGCGGAGCTGCTGGGCTTCTCTGCAACCTAACTGAATTAAAGTCATGAGAAGACAAATGCAAGGGGGTTGCTTTCAGAGGCGAGAAAACGTCAATTTGCAAAGAGAATTCAAGGAACAGTGGCAAGTGCAAGGCTTCCGAGAAACATGTTTCCTTCATGATGTCTTTCTTCTGCATGAGTCATACATCTCTGGGTCACACCTTCAGATGGGGTAAGTGCCAGCTGCTCCTGGACATCAGTGCGATTTATACTAATTTAAAATGAGGAGTAGCCTGAGCGGTCTAATGGACAAGCTCTGATAACACTGCTGCAGTGGCATCTACACCCCACCTATTTGCCAAAGGATACGTCTCTACATCAGAGCGAGCAGAATGTCTGCAGGTAAACTGGAGGCTCTCAGGAGGGCAGTAAACTCCAGCAGCTGGGTGCACATCAGCTGGCACAGGAAAATCTAGAAACACTCCCTTCAGTTTCCTCAAAAGATTTCAAAGCAAAGTGCTTAGCATGGAGGTCCCAAAGTGTTTGGGAGTCAAGGGCGTTAAGGAGCTGGAGTGAACAAATGACATTACCATCAAGGAACATCTCTTCCTCTTAATTTGAAATGAAAATGTGCATGCTCAGCATTTTATAAAAGGGCAGCTTCAGTGCCCACAGCACAAAGGGACAGAGAACGGGGGGCTGAATCAGACAAAGGTGGGAGGGAAAAGGGGCTTTTGTTGATGAACTTTTAACACACATCTGTTTTGACATATTATGCTAAATGCGGATATACTGGGTGTGGTGGCACATGAAGAGTTGCACAGGACCACTGACACACATTTTGTCTGCAACACAAGTCACAACTCAATATATTGAGTTGTATATTCTGTATATTCTCCAGTTCCTTTAGAACAGAGCATATACGTCTTTTCTCCAGGGACAAAAAGAAGGCAGTTCCTATGGCAGATATTTTCACTTGGTTCAACCTGTCTGCTAAGAAAATCCAACTCTTGCTAACATGCTTCAGAGGGTAGCACTGGCTCCATTTTTCACTGGAATACAAGTCACATTTGCAGTAGCAAAGCAAAGGAAATCACATCTGTTATATACCTGGCAGTGACAGCTGATGTACCTCCTTGCAGACTAAAACAAACTTGTTGCAATAATCTAAACTTTACTGTCAGAGAGCCACATTATTCCTTAATTTTGTTCCTTTCCTCCACTAAAATATGTTGACTTTCCCCTTTGATTTCAACAAATTTCCTTTAGCTATCAATTGTCAGGGTGCATAGGTCAGCAGGGACTGCTGAAGAACAGTGTGATGTAATCCTTCCACTCAGGGGCTAAGGAATAACTCTAGTGTTTCTTGCCAAGACACACAGACAGGTCTCAACTATGTGATACAGGATATCCCAGATTAGAGGGGGGGAAAAAAAAAGCACTAGGAGACTCTGGCACACTGTAAAATTGACTCTACTTGCAATCCTCAGTAGGTCTGATGTAAAATGGCACTGTGCTGTAAAAGCTAACACAAACGATCCATGTGCACTCTGTGGGGAGAACAGAGCGTGTGTGTCCTGGATCTGTGGGATGCTGATTACACTACCCAAATTCTTGAAGGGATTCTTCAACATTTGTGGCTCACCGTCAGTGAAGCAGTCCAGTCCAAATGTAATATTGTCGATAGCAATGTCAGCTTGGGAATTCCAGCCCCAGGTTGCCAGGAGTTGCAGTTGAAACCTTTGCAATAAGACAGAAGTTTTTAAAAAGACAGAAAAAGGGGCACATTTAAGAAAAAAAAACAAAAAAACAAAAAAACAAAAAAAAACAAAAAAACAACCAACCAAAACACCAAATCTAAAAATACAATGTTCCCTTATCATCAAATTATAATCATCACTATTTAGAATCGTTCATTCTTGGCTAAGCAGCCAAAAGGGCTTGCTAGAAATCTTAACCACCCATGGAGAGTTAGTAAGGGCCAACCAACATTCATATAATGGCACATTTCATGGAGAACAAGAATGAGAGCCCTACGTGCCCTTCTATCTGCACACACATGTAAGAAACACAAGCTACTGTGCCTCATTAAAACATAGACAACCCTCCTTATTCAATTGCTATGAACAGTCAAGGAATTAGACATGTGCAAAAGGGAAGGGAAAAAAGTATCTCCTTCTTTCCATCCCCAAAGAGATAGACAGAGTAAAAACTGAACAGAACAATATCCAAATAGGCAGGAATCTTGGGCCTGATCCTCAGCCATTGTAACTCAACAAGACAGCATGAGTTTATTTCAGTTGAAGGTCAGGACATTTTCAATTTAATCCATAACTCCCTGAAGGGTTTGCTTTCTGGGCTATCTAATTTTTTCCACCATGACCAGGTGCTACTCATCTAGGAAGTCTGTCCTGTCGCATGTGTATTGCCACGTTCTGAATTCACAAGGGAGAAAGAAAATGGGATGAAGTATCTCCTTCTAATGGATAGGACTGAATTGTTTTTCATTAAATTTCAGAAATAAACAGACGTCTGATGTCCAGTCCATTTAGAGCTTATTAAAAGCATATGGAGAGGACCTCTACTGCTGTCACTGTTGAAGCTCAATGATGATTTATGAGAGATCAAGCATTGACCTTCCTAACACATTAATCATTCAGCCTAGGAGCATACTTGTCCCAAATTAGTGGCAATAAAGTATGCCTGTGTATTCCACTCGTCAGCCAAATGTTGGTTCATATCCACAGTCAATATAATGTTCCATAGCTGCATCAAAATCTTTAGGGGTAAGGTGCTTTTTACCCTAACTCAGAGAATGGCCCCTTGTGCTTAAATGAAAGCATTCACACCTACGGGATCTGAGCACTCTGGGAGTGTTGGTGCAGCAAATGCAAATCTCTTGAACGACCACGCTCTTACCTATGGGGTTAGCAGGGGAATTCACCCTTAGATCCCCTTTCTACAGAAAGCTGTCTCTTTATTAGCAGATTTAGCAACACTTTTGCATTTTCAGACCTCATACATAAGTCCATTGACACAAGACAGTAATTCCCCCAGCCATTTGATGGAAGACAAAGTCACAGCACCCTCAGCCCAGGACTAGGGCACTTCTAGGACCCATAGCCATAGATACAGCACCACAGCCTACCCCTTCCTTAAGGCACCCCCATGGCAGCATACCCTTGGTCAGGTCAATCTGCTGTGTCTGGTCCACAGAGTCAGAGCAGGGGAGGGTCCCTGGCACTGCACTACAAGGTAGATTTCTGTCCATCTGAGTACAAGTGGGAGCCCCAGGGAATGCCTTCTCCCCCCAGTGCATGAGAATAGACACCTCATAAGCTGTGTGCTCCGTGTGCTTCCCCTCCCTCATAACTTCAGAAAAAGGGGAGGAATTTGCCTTTTGAACTCTGTGCTGTGTTAGCCAGAGGGGTTTCCAATGTTCCTGCTCACTGAGCTAATTTTGCTGACTCCAGCGTATTACGCACTCCAGCTCTCTGATGTCTGGTCTCCTGCCTGTCTGATTTTCTTCTGATAACAGCCTATTTCCCTGTGTGTGTGAACCAAGAGAGTGAATTTGCCAGCTGATCACCAGAAGCATTTTTCCAAGGAGCTAGATGTCCACCTAACTGAGAGGCTGATCAGCAAACTGTGTAGTTTGTCTTCCTTCTCTACTAAGAAATAAATCCACTGTAGGGAGCAGTTGCTAAAAACTGCTTATATATCCCCTCCATGGCTTCCTCCTTTTACCCACTAAGGCTTCATTACTTCTGGCCCCATCAAGACATTCATGTCCTGCTACAGCAACAATTTGTGTGGCAGTTCATGTCTACCCTGTTTCCTTGTGTGATCTGTCCCCTCCCGCCCACTTTGCTACTGGCTATCAACCCCTTCAAGGAGTCAGGAAGAAATATAGCCTTTTCATACAACAAGAGAATGACAGGAGTTTCCTGAAGATTCAAAATACCGGAAAATGACATGCCAGCCCAAATGTTGTACTAAAAAAAATTCCCTAAGCACGGCATTGCTGGAGTTTGCATTACCAAGGAAAGCTGCCAGCACCCACAAATACACAGAAAAATCATTCATGGAGATTTACACCAAACTGTACACAGAAGTAGGTGAGATAGGACAGAAGGAGCAGCGCATGGAAGGAACAAGGCAAGAGGCCTGGAATGGAGCCCGTGTCCTGGGAGCACAAAGACCAGGGTTTCCACACTTAGGGCAAATAGCTGCAACACCTTCCAGCAAAGCGTGTGCTGATTCTTTCTGTTATAGAGCAGTGCAGCAAATAACACCTTATTACTTCTGTTAGTCACTCGGCTAGCTCAGGCAGCATGGGTCTGCTTGCTAGATTGAACAGTTCTAGCCTCACCCACAATGATTGTCACTGTTGTGCCACATCAGTTTTAAATTTGTTTGAAAATAGTACACAAAAAGATTAGATGAAGTGAAACATGATAGAACTACTTAAAACACTGTCATAACACATACATGCATGACCCACATACTTCTTTCATTTTGTCTAAGTTCTCAACTCTTTCAAACATTACAGTATTTGAATATCAATGTTTCTCATTCAGTGCTGACTAGTGCTCCCTAAAGCCTTTTGCTGTTCATTCCCTCCTGCCACAGAAGATACATTTCACTTCAGAACTGAGGGCTGGTGCAGAAATCAGAGTCTTTCAGGGGACAAGCACAAGGGACTGTAATCAGAGGAGGCAGAAGGTCTTAAATACCTCTGAAGAGCCCCTAGGGCTCTGCTGTGGTTAGGTGCACATGAAAGTGCGTGGGGAAAAAAGAGCTATTCTGGACAAATTCACTGGTCATACTTTACATATGCAGAACTAAACAGATGCAAATCAACAGGGCTCCAGACTGTGTCAGACAAGAATATTAAATACACTGCCAGCATGCAGACCTATCCTATCCCAAAGGAATAATTCATGGCAAAGGTGCATATAGTGAACACATGATAATGCTGAGACCAAAAGTAATCGTGAAATTAAACTAGAAAGAGGGTGGCACAACATCCTCTCTCTCTGAGTTTTGATGTTGTTTGGGTCTGGATTGCTATCACTTCCAGATCCAAATCCCTTAGGCTTTTACACAAAGATGCAGAGAATATTTGAAGTTAAAAGGAATTCTCTCACACCTCCTGATTCATGAAGTTTTGAGACATTGTTTATTACCAATATTAAGTAGATACTGTTCCATTTATAATATTCACTGTATAGACCTTGAGATTTTTTTGTGTTGTCATGTGAAACAGGCCTCACTGAGGAACATGTAAAAAAACAGATTGGAGCAACTTAAAAATCGCTTGTGTTGTGTGAAATAACCAGCTGCCAACACCAGCTACATGCTTGAGATCAAATGACACTGGGTGAGGGAAGACAAGTACCTCATTAAAATTAGATTGGGTTGAAATTCTTTGAATCTTCAATATTTGACTTCATTTGAAAACCAGTGCCACACTGTATTTTCACACCTAAAACTGTGAAAACTTTAAGTGCAAGACTGATTTGGGCAACAGTCTTTTCCTGAGATTGCTGCACCGGTGATGTGGCAATGAATGCTCTCCAGTTGCCTAGGCTGCATTGATACAGATCCTAGACGAGACAGTTGTGTTGGTTAAACTGTGATTTTAACTCATTGGACTCACATGGCTGTTTTCAGTGTGGGAGCAGAAAGTACAGCTATGCTAATATAGCTGTTCCCCTACTGGGACCGCTTTGCCACTGTGAGTCTACTGGCTTTCTCAGATTGGTAGAATGTTTCTGCTACAGACACTTGCTATCCCCAATACCTGAGCATCGTTTGAGGCCGCATGGAAGTGCAGACTCCCAGCGTGGACTTGTGCTGAGCTAGGCTGTGTATGTGCATGAAGATACACATATGTGACAGAATACTTCCTCAGCAAGCAGAATTGCAGTACTCCTGTAATTTTTTCAGTAGAAATGGCCCCGGAAGGAGGCACGAATGAAAGTGATGCTTCACAACAAAGACAGTAACAATGTACTAAACCTCTAGGGATAACTCTGGATGCTGCCAGTGGAGCTCTTACCGGTTCTGAAGCACTGGCATTGGTAAGGTGATGAGAAACCAGTGGTCACTCCAGCTCCCTGCCCTTTCCCACATTGGCAAGGTGACCGGAGCTCCCTTTATCTCTTCCCTGACAGACAAGGAGACGGTACCATTATAGTTGCCAAAAACATGCACTGAGAATTGGATCTGTAACAGAGGAAGAAAAGAAAAAGAATAGCATCCTGTGATAAAAAGGGAAAGGTACTCACTTCTCCCCTCTCTGGGGATTTGAGACACCAAACCTTTGATCCTGAGTCAAACAGTTTAATCAAGCACACCACTAAAGCCCACCCCCCCACCCCCCCCAATCACTTGTGTATGACTCATCACTGTTCCTAGCACAGAATTTTCTTGGTGGAGACCCTGGGTGACTGATGCTCCTGTTGGGCAGCTGTTCCCCAACCACAGATGACAATATCCATGGCCATCAGGCACCATCCGGTGCCTGAGAGCACTGGTTTCCTTGCTTTCTCCTTCAGGAAGAAAAAGTAGTAAAGCAGAGGAACACAGGCTTAAATTCAATAAATGCTTTATCATTAAATGCTTTCACTAGAGTTACGTTATTGCAGAAAAAACAATCCTAACCACATTCCTCTTCAGTGTTTTCACCAGCTTAAAGATTCCCATGAAAGGATTTGAACCACAGTTTAAATCTTTTAAGGATTCCCACTGTAACCACTCCGGTTAAGGTGTTGCACTGGTATGGCTCAAACTATACCCAGGGACTAGGTACGGCACAAAAGGACTCCAAGGGGAGAGCTGCCCTGCCCCAAATGCCCTTGAAACAAGGAATTAGGCTGTCTCGAAGCAGGAAACTTCAATCCATATACTTGTTCCAAGTCATAGGCACCATCTGGATTGTAGCACCCATACGACAGGTGAGCAACCTGATCACCGGGCCAAAGAATATTTTGAAGCAGGACTCATTCCTCTGTCTTTGGAGCAACCATTTTGCCACACAGCAAGAGAGAGCTGCTATTTCCACCGCTGCTTTGAGCACTCAGCTGCTCTTCATGCTGCAGAGAGCACCAGCAGGAAAGGAAGCATGCACAAGCATGCGCTGTGAAGAACAACTGAAGGAAGTTCCTGAAATGTGGGTTCAGATCCTTGCCAGTGGAGGAGAGAATGGGCCCAGGTCTCCTGTGACCTGTACACCATAACCAACAGTTACTGCTTCTCCTCCTCCTGGTTTTGTGAACCTAGCCACAAGCACATTTTATTTGCTGGGTAGTTCCAACAAAATTTGACCTGGATTTATAAGTAAATACAAATGCTGAAGTTACATTTTTGGCACCTGCACTATATTTCTTTTGCCAGCTCTAATTAGGAGTCATCAAAGATTTCTGTTTTCCCCTAGCAGGGCTGGACTCCAGCTCAAACTTGCAGCTTAATTTTCCTAAGTGTTATGAGTACAATATTATTTAATATTTTTAATTCCAGCATCTCAGAGCTCACTTTATCTTTGTAGAGATTTGGGCTGAAGGCTGGTTATGTGATTTTACCTATGCCAGGTTGCCCTCACCTTTTGAAATTCCTGAAGACTGTGAACAGAAGTTTACTATCTTCATCTATTTCTGGAAAATCTAATGCTTGCTAACTTCACACTCCCGTTCTCAGTGAACCCATCGAGTTTGTTAACTCCCACAAAAGCACTGCATAATTTATGAAAAGAAGTCTCAGCAGCAAGTATACTGAATGGCTCAGCTCCCTTTCCTACAAACCAGGGCCACCCATACAATGCAGGTGCTGGCTACCCTTCAGAGGAATAACAGTCAGTACAGTCAGGCTGGGGAGTTTTCCACACTGAGGAGCTGATTTGGGGCTCCTGCTTTCACTTACTGGGGATGCACCTTGAATCTCCTTTCCAATTTTCAACAAGTAGCTAGCTAGGTGGTAAAGCCAACTCTTCTGCTTTCCAGCGTTTCACAGAGTGTGCAGAGACAGAAGATAACAGACTAATTGTGCAAACAGTGCCTACAGCCTGATGATTAACTCCACAACGGTGCTAAAATAGAGTGATTACCTGGTAGTCTTCAGTGGCCATACTGGCTGGCAAGCTGGTACTGTAAGCCTTAGCCATACTGCTTGTCTGATTGCTCTCTGCTCGCAGGTAGAGGAAGTGCCCTGTGAACACAGAAGTGAATCAGAAAAAACAAGATGATGTTTCACTTTTTTAATACTCTCTTGAAATAATTTCACATCATTGGTCTGAAGTACAGTGTGAGTAAGATGACAAGCATGGCTGGAGATCACATATCTTAGTGAGAATATAATAAGCACTTTGGCAGATTTCAGCAGCACAAAAGTCAACATCCCAAACCGCTTCCTGGAACATGAGTGCATAAACCTCAGATACCACTCAAGTAACTTCCCATACAGGAGCTCACACCAATCAGTGAAGTCCTAATCAGCCCTAATTCTTACACCATTTGGCATTAATGACTCTTGCTAAGACAAACCCTGGGCTGGAAGAGCTTATCTGTAGTCTCTGTTCCCAGGGACAGTTTATACAAGCTCTCAAGAGATGAAGAGGACACTTATATGGACACCCTTCATTTTGACAGGGAACTGTGAGGCAAAATTCATCTGTGCTACCACCTAACTTTCAACCTGAATATGTCTGGCCTCCCTCCTTATTCAACAAGCTGACAGTTCCAGGAATTATCTGACTTTTTTTTTTGTGGTATTCCATGGCACAGAATGTGTAAGATCACTTGGTCTTGGGATATGCTTGCATGTGATGCTCTTCCTAACCCACTGCGGAGTCTGGCAAGGGTCTCCAAAAGCATTTGTTTCTACAAGCTGCCTAGTTCTGTTGGATAATTTTTACTTTGTGATGCAGCAGCTATCATGTTGCTGCTGAAGTACTCTGCAATTGCATAGCTCCTAAGAGGAAGAAGGATGGAAGAAGTATATAATGAGAAAAGAGAATCCATTATATAATTTTTTTAAGGTGAAGGAAAATCCTAATCTCTGATAGTTTCATGTTAACTTTGTTGCAGAACTTGTTTCATATAAAGTTTTGAATCATGTTCAGAAGTTCATTTTAGCAATGTATGAAGTTGTTATAGGTAATACTGATGCTAAAGTTAATTTGGCATTGATGCCAAAAATTTTAAACTAATTTTAAAAAAAACCCTAAGTTCAAGGCTATTGTACATATATACACAGACACAGCGAGAGAGAACTATGAGGAACCTACCACCAGTGGCTTGTAAGGTAGACCCTACAAATGAGTCATCTTGAATCATTTCAGTAAATCCCCGAATAGACCAAGGAGATGCTGCAGTTTCATTCAGTGTCCAGCCACACAGACCCTCTTCAAAAGAGCAATGTGAGCCCTCTGGGAGACTGTCTACAACAGACAATAAGAAAAAGCAGGAAAACAGGAGAAACTTGATTATGGAACAACACAAACAGCAGCAAAAGTCAAAACTCGTTGTGGTTGTCTAAGCTACCCAACCTATGCTGCACACAGTTTTTCAATGTCAAAATATTAAATATGTCTCATTTGTTTACTTCCAGAGTCACCATCAGAAAGCCAACACTGCTCCTGGGGTTATTTGAGACTTTGCAGTTCTGTCCTGCTCTAGACACTGCGCAAACTGCAGCTCCCACAATCTAAGGAATGGTAAATCGCTGCCCTATCTTTGTAAAGGCCTTGCTGCACATGAAATTGCAGGCGTCACAAAGTTTTCTGTGTCCACTTAAAGGAAGGACAACCAACAGATTATTTTAGCTCTTTCCCACTGTACTTGCAAACAAAGCTAAATGATACTTCTCAGCTCCACATATACTGAGCCAGGGGATTTCTCTGTCATGATGTGCAATAAGAACTCTAAACTGGGATCTTGGAGGGACAGATTTATGATTATGTTTTGTGGGTGGCACTAGAAAGATGATCAGCATCTTCCACTGAAGGGAGATTCAGACCTTGGGTCCAGAAGGAATAGCTCACTCAGCTGCAGACATGTAAATAAAGGTTTTGCCTTTCTCTGAAGTAGCAGCAACTATGAAAGGCAAGTCATTGAGCTCCTTACTGCAATATTTGAAAACCAAACCAAAAAACTCATATCCATTTTATCCTATATAGGGTGAATTTTCAAAGAGAATCTTGATATGAAATTAATGTAAATAGGCTAAATTAATTCAGGAGGCAAAATACTGAATTAATCTAGAGATGGAATCAATTTAATTTATTTTTCACTCTAAATTATTTCTTCTAATGGGATGAAGGTTCCCATGAAGTGCCATGCCATATACTCACCACACCTCACTCCCTCCTGTTCTTTGACGGGGCAGTCGCTGATGAATTCACAGATTTGTAGGTGGCTGACACAGCCTCCATGAAGGCAGGGGAAGGTGGAGCCTTTGTCATATATAGAGAGACCTTGGCTTTCTTTATCTAAAGAAAAAAAGGGAAAGAACCGCAGAAATGAGTTGTCAGAATGCATATGATCGTTCATGTGTATCAACCTTCACGTGTAGGACCTCAGAAGTTGTCCTTTGGGTGATAAATGATACTCACCTCTGCTTTTTACTGTGTAGGTTTCTATCCAGCATGAGATTCCTGCAGATCACCTCAGCTCTCATGGAGACCAAATTTATTACTCCTTTCTCTCTTATGCACTGTCCTCTGCTGTGTTTGTGCTATCTTTAGATAAACACTTTTTTCTGTTTGTTTGTTTTGTGAAGGACCTTGACATTTCCTACCACGGTGTGCTCCTCAGTTCCGCACAGGCGACTGCGCGCCTGCCGGGCAGCTGTGGCAGGCTGCATGACACGCTGCTGCTGGAGGCAGAGATACCTGCTTCCCTCCCATCCTGACAGACACGTTGCTATGCCCTGCTGAGACTCAGGCTTAACTAACGCTCCTGCTGCTGGCACATTTGTGCCAAGTCGGTGGCATCCAGCCCATGCAGATAGCTGCTTCCCCAGTAAGTCGTCTCATTGTGCAGGAACTTTACTCATAGCCTAGTCAGCTGTACTCTGGGAGCATTTGACTGACTGCACAGGTATCCAGCAACCAGGCTGAACACAAGTTTTAAGTCTGATATTTCCCAATAGCATGGCTCTTAACGCACCCGGCCTGTCCTGTGGATGTGTGTGCACAGGTCTGTTATGGACCTGCAGGTTTGTGTAGGTCCCTTCTGGACCTGCTCCCCTTTAGCAGAGCTCCACACACAAGTTCCACTGGGATTGTTACTGCTCTGGAAAAAAATGCAAAGGTTAGGGAACCAATTCCAGACAAAAAAAAGGACATCTCTGCAGCAATCCAGGTGCACAGTCTGAAATAGTATTTCTTTGTGGCCCTGTGTTGTGCTGGGTGCATGCATCAGCTTATTTCAGGACTGAGTGTTTAGCATAGTGCTTCAGGCTGTATGCACTCCCTCAAAATTCCATGACTGACAAAAAAAAAATTACATTAAAAATACAACATTTATTAAATTAAAAAATTAATGACTGCAATAGAATTAAATCTCTGATATGATTTAAACCAGGCTCACGATATATTATGAAACAACTTTGTAAAACCAGTATTCTCTTTTTACAATTAAAGTTTTTACATTACATGCCAAGCTATTTCCACAGTGTCTGCAAAACGGAGGCGACAGCATTATATTAATGCATGAAAACCAGGAAGTGGAGATGATTATGTGTCTCCAACCTGCAGGCTGCCTGTGCTGACAGACTCCTGTACTTCCAAGAAGCCTAGATTACATTAGCAAGGTTCTGCACAGCTACTGAGGGTCATTTGCATGACATTCACAACAGGACTGTAAGTGCCAGGTAAAACTGATGATTTCTGAGCTGAGCACTCAGTACTTGGAGAAAATAATTACATTCCAGTTATTTCCATTTCAGACAGACATTCTCAGCCTGGCAGTAGAAAATAGACACTACAGAGTGCAGATAAATGTTTCTTTTCTTCATAGATTTGGAAGATAGAGCCCCAGTACAGAAAAGGCTTTGGTGGCACAAGGTAGTCTTTTGCTCTTGATTATTTAAGAACAAAAAATATTAAAGGCTAAAATAATCCAGGCAAATAGTTTTTTTCCATCTGTTGCTGGATGCAGCATAATCCCTGCTGTTTTCTCATACAAAAATTAAGCAAAGCAAAGCTGAAAAGCAGAGAGAATCACTTAAATCAGTGCTATAATTCTGAGCTTCAACCCTGCCTTTGGAACACGTATACATGTGTTCACACACAAAAAACCACATGCAAATGTGACCCTTGACAGGTAACCACTGCCAGAAACCCCATTTAAATCCCATCTAAAAGACTCCCTGATCACACTCACTAGTTTTGGTGAGGATGCTGCTCTCTTTTCTGACTGCATTTGGTTATTCCAAACCTGACTGTATTGCAACATACCATGAAAGCAGTTCCTGAGTTGCAAGTAGCCCACTGCCAGTACTCCAACCTCCTGTGCGCCACAGTTTGAATACAGCAAGGTGATTTTAAAAGGTCTTTCTATTCGGCCAATCTGGGCCATCAGGTATTTCCATTTCACCCTAGAAGACAACAAAGAGCTATCAGACATATACACAGCACATGGAAGACATGAAGTCTCTAGCATAAAGGTTCTGTGCTGTACCAAATAGAATAGTATATACACAGGGAATAGATAGGTGAATGTGAACTCCAACATAACAAACTGGTGTCAATATAAAACAAGTGATGTTCAACCTAACAAATTCATGTTCAGTTATCTTTGCTGCAGATCCTATTGCTGATGATGAAAAAATCCAACCACTCCCAATGATTAAGTTAAAATGGGGCTTAAATTATCACCAATTTTGGACACACACACACGCCCCTCATGTGCCTTCCACATATATGGTTGTGTCCTGTTTGCTCTTGTAAGTACAGATCAAGCAAGCAGTTGCACAAGTCTCTGGACGTCCTCAGGCTAACACTGACATTGTATGTTCTAAAAGTAAACGTCTGACCCTGAATGTTTCTTGGTTGTGTCAAGTGTGAGAACCTTTTCCTGTACGTTCTCTATCTAATCTCCCAGTTTAACAAACCAGAGTGCACCCACAAAGCAAGAGGAAGAAAAGTGGTGTTTCAGAAAATGCAGATTGCTCTGGAAATTTAAGCTTCACCACAGAACAAATGCCATAGCACCTAGACAGAATAGGTTTCTCAGTTGTGCAGCGCTTGTGGCAGTTCAGAGAAAGACAGATGGTCCCATGCACTCTAATTTTAAAGGTGGTCGTTAGGCATTGAAAGCTAGTGAGAGATACCACATGAGAATTTTCAAAGTACCTCACTCAAATCAGTCTGATGGAAGTCAGGGTATCCAGGTGTCATTTAAAAATCCAACAGGATTCTTAAAAATATTTTTATTTTATTTTTAAAACCTGTCCTTCTACCTCATGTTAACAAGACAATGAAATCCGGTTAAAACTGTATATTATTATTTTGTAAAGGCGTTGTAGAAAGGGCAGTGACAAAGGAATCCTTGCTCTAAGCTCTTTTCATACCCTATGTGCTGCTGATGTTGCCTGGGGTTACCCCGGACAAGGTGTCAGTGCCAGTGGGATGATTAGGAGGTCAGGTCACAGTGTTAAGATGTGTTGCTCAGGCTCTGCTTCCAGTATTACTTTTTAATTTGGGAAATGCCTTCAGCTGCCAAGAAATGATCATCTAGCCCTCATCTTGCACCACAAACACAATAGAAGGCAACACCCAGACAACAAACACATCTCTACTGGACGCAATATATTAAAAAAAAAAAAAAAAAAAAAAAAAAAAATCACAAACCACCTAATTTGCAACTTGCAAAAAACCCAAAGCAACTTTAATTTTTTATCACTTTCTCCATTTTTACTTGACACTGATTAGTTACCTAACTTATTCTTTCCTCTACAAACCAAATATATACTTATTTCCTGGTGAGAGCTTCTTACTATCCCTTCTATGGCATCCCCTTGTTTTCCACTTTCTCAATTGTACACATACACCACAGCTACCCTAAACTCATCTGAAGTTGAGCTCCTCTTATCAAGATGACTCTATTTCTCCTGTTTCCTGTCCCATAATATCATATTCCATAGTTCAATATAATTTAATTCAGCTTCAGAAGTGTCCAGCCCTGAACCACAACTGCACCATCTCTACTACCCAACAAAGGAAAATGACTGCTTTACCTTCATTTTGGACTATGGTGCAGCTTCAGGAATGCTCAGCATTTTTATATATCTTATAAATACACTTAGAAATATATCCCCCCCTGCCACACTGCGGCACAGCATCCAAGACCATTCAGCAGAATGACCCAGAACTGAATCACTTCTGCTACATGACACAGCTTTGTTCATCACTCCACCACATCCTGTTGGCCACAAATATCAATGGGCCTTAATCAAATTGGTTTGATGAGCCACTGAAGGTAAGGACAGCCTTTAAATCCTCTGAATTTATCTATTAAGCCTACTAGACCTTCCAAGCACTGAGACATAGTTCTAGAACCTCCACCAAGTTACAACCCACTCCAAAGCTGAGACATCACAGTATCACCAGTGTTATCACACCCTGAGTGCAGGAACTTGCAGCACACAGACCCTGATTCACAGCCAGTGTTACATTTAGTAGCAGCAACTAAAGAGACTACTGCCCCACAGCTGAAAACAATGGCTAGTTCAGCTGCTGCACCTTAATCCTACATTGTTTATAAGCCAGACACTTCAGAATTTGCCATTTATAGCCTGGTATATCAAAACAAATGAAAATCATTGGTGATCTAAGTCAATAAACCAACCTCTAAAGCGTCACTACTGAGAAAGACACACTGTCCAATCTGCCATCTCTGCTGGGAGAACTGTGGCATCTGGTAGGAAAGCAAGGCCACTATCTTAAACCATAACTTGTGTGAACTGGCAGCTCTTCTGAGTCAGAGCCTTAAGGCTCTGTGAATATTCTAGTTCTGCACTGAAATATCTCTAGTACTGAAATTTGACTCCATTTATAACACCACAGCAAAATCTGGTAAGCATCCAGAGACTGCAAAAATGACAAATAGCTTTGCATCACCCATAATACTTCTGTGTATGGAGTCTTGTCATCATCAAGGTATTCCCCTTCATAGAAACCCTCATCCCCAAGATCCAACAGTAGCAAGATTTCTAATGCTGTAAATAATTACGCCTTCTTTGCTTGGTTCCACTATCTAAACAGGGGCTAGTCAGAGCCAATTTAATTTTCTTAATGGAATCAGGAACAAAGCCCATTGTCAATCTAGCAGAAGATGGATCATTGCAGCAGGCTTCCAGATAAGCCAAGCTTGGCAATACCTTTACTATTGATTTTATGTCAAACCAGATCTCAAGTAATGAGTTCATATTACTCTTCTTCTAAATAGAGATGCTAAAATTGATTTATATGTATGGAAGAGCTACCAGAGTCTGACAGAATTTTGAGAAATTTGCATGGATAGAAAGTTTGGAGTTACAAGCAACCTGATGCTTAAGGCAAGGGACTTCAAGATTCACCCTGCAAACCTACAATTTCAACTTTTGATTTTTATTAGCCTCTCTATCTTCTCTGCTGAGCAAAAGTTTCTCTCCCCCTCCTTACCACTCCTGCTGTGCCATGCTTTTCCATATGCAACAAAGGTAACTAACTGATCATTAATATTAAGAAAGACTTTTAATATTAAGAACATCAATTTCTTCATTAAGAGTGAAAAAAGTAATGAGGCTGAACAGGAAAGCTGAAACTCTATCTGAATTAGGGGGACTCAATGCATGGTTTACTGTACTAAGGTATGTATGCTAAATGCTTCTAGGCTTAATCAGTGAACATACAAATTAGAAGCTTTACATTACTTTTCTACATACAGGAAGCTGTTGCCTACAAGTCTTCACAGACATCCAGTCCCAGCCATTGGACTTAAAAGGAAATAGGTGAGAGCAGAACACGTGCCTACCCCTCTTGCCTTCACCAGTCCCTTACAGGGTTCTTATTTGATCCAGTGTATTTTGGTGTGTGATTTCAACAGAAGCACGAGGAGCAGTAAGTCATACTCCCAGATTAATGTTCAAAAAACATAGTCTTATATAACAGCTGGACAGCCTCTCCTTTTCTAGCTGTATTTTAAAATCAAAAAGGCTGTGGTCATTGTTGTCAGTACATATTAGGGATTTTCTGAGGATGCTTACCAGACTACTCCCTTTCAAAGGCTTATGTAGTTGGACACCCAATTTACGAAACCCAAATGACCATACGTGTTTCTAGATGTTCAGATCAGCAATATGGCAATGTTTCCATGTACAATAGCAGAAGTTAAATAACTTTAGTGGATAAAATCAATCACATTAGTGCCACAGAAGTGTCAAAGACGGCAAGTTTCTACAAGTGTCTCAGAAGCTGGCAGGGCATTTTGGCACCACCCACCCAACCCAAAAAAAGGGGAAAGACACAAAAAAACTAAGCAATAATTGTTTTGTAAGGTTGGCTAACTGAAAACTCATGTGTGCGCATGGCCATGAAATTTTTGTTTTTTGACCTACCAAGACTACCATGGTCAGTGCCTTATACTTCAGAATGCAGAGCAAAATCACATTGACTTATTGACCACAGAAAGGGAAAAGATTATCCCTGCTCTGAATGATGTTTTTTTATTTTCACCGAAGTGTGAGCACTTAGACTTGAAAGAAACTAGCTCCTTACAGAAATAGTTTCTGCTGACAACACTGAAATAATTGGTTAACAACAAACAGAAGCATGTGAAACCATTCAAAACAAAAGCACAGAGAACTCAGAAGAATTTTCAGCTGTGATTATTTCTGGGTCTACATAGTAAAGAGAGGAAAGGTGGGATAAGCAAAATAGTAAAAAAAACATTAGATATGACCTGAACAAGCACCATAACTGTAATCCTGGGAAAGTCAAGGCAGCTGAGTCAAGTGCCAGATGAAGAAGACTTGGACTTGCAAGCAAAGCTACAGGCTCTTGATGTTTGTACTCTACTGAGATAATAAGAAATATAATTTTATATATTTTTGGTAAATATATAGAATTTCAAACACCTCACTCCCTTGGTGGTTCTCCCTCTAATGGTAATAACTCAGAATACCCATGCACTATAGGTGTGGTATATAACAATAAATACTGTGATTTTTCCCTACTTGTTCAGAGGACATGGTGTCTGAAGGTTCATTTGTTTCTTTGTTCTTTCACTAAGGTATATGTGTAAAAAAAGGAGTGGCAGCTTCAGTATTACCAATTTAATGATAAATCCTAGTAGTTACTGAGGTGGACAGCAACTTTCCCTCATCCTTGATACATCTAATCTTTTGGGGACTGTGTAGCTGATGGATCCTGAAAAAGGAATCACCATCAGGAGATTTCTAGGTCCAGAAAGAGGACAGTTCACTGAAGTGGCCTGATGCAGCTGGAATTTATGATGAAGGAATTGATCCTGGAATTGAGGGATGACAAGAGACTGAAGCGGGATATTCTGGAATGCCTGAGTGTCTGAAAAACTGCCATCTAGACTTTTTTCTTTATCTAAGTTTCTACTCTGATCTCAAGATGATCCCTTGGTAATATTGTCAATGGTTAAACTATGTACTACACATAGGCATCTATCTCAAGGTCATTTGCTTATTGTCCTTCTTCTTCTGCTCTAAATTGTGCAGCAGTGCTTGGTTAGCACTGAAAAGCTTGTAGAACTCCCACTCTCTATGGAAAGTCTCTGGAAAGTGGGAACGCTTCAGGATGGTCTCTCTTCTTAACAATTTAAAACAGGACCCAGTAACCTTCCTTCTTGAAAACCTTAATACTAAACCCTCTGAGCTTACCATTGCTTCATTTCACTCACTAAGAAAAAGTAATTCCAGAGTCTATGCCAACTTCCAGTCAAGCTAACGCCATTCTAATAAACTAAATTCCCTCATTATTAGAGAGATGATAATCTTGATTGCATGTAGAATTGTTTTGCAGTGCTCAAATAAGCTGTTAAACAACATATATGATCTGTTCCAGGGATGCTGCAGTGATTGCATTCAAAGGCTGGTCTAGCTAGCTAGGTATACCAAAAGGGTATTTTATGAGTTTATATAGGGGAATGGAGCTGTGGCTGCAGTTGCAGAGGCTTGTCAAATGCTCAAGGCAACAAGGGCAGTTATAGGTAAAAAATGACATTAGAAACTGATCCCAGAAAATGCAACAGATTCCTTATGAAATTGGCAAGAATAAGGGGAAGGAGTAGCCAGGAAGGAAGTGAGCAATAGCTAAAAGCTGGAGAGAGAGACGGATCTTAAAGAGAATAAATACCTTTTTTTAGTCAAACTCTGCTAACTTTGGCTGGCCAGGAGTCTTGGCTACAGCTCTCCATGGCAGCCTGGAGAGTGCCAAAGAATTTTAAAAAAACAAGAACTGGGATCTATTGCTGAACTTCCCTGTGGGAGTCAGTCAGGTGATGGAAATAAAAAGCTCTGTTGTGTGTCTGACCCAGGTTCTTACAAGGCAGATTGCAGGAAAGGAAAAACAAGCACATGGAAAATGGCAAAATCAGATGACACGTGGACTTTTATCCTTCTTTTCCTGTCTTGGTTCATTCCCTTTGCCCATTTATCCTGCTTACTGCATTCTGCTACACACAGGAATGAAAAACACTGGGAAGATCAAAGGGAAGAGAATACAGAACAAGATCCAGGGTTGCTGCACTTCCTTTTTTTTTTTTTTTTTTTTTTCCTTCACCTCTTCTCACCTCTAGCCTCTGTTTTTTACCTCCCTGAGCTTTTCAAATGAAGCAAAAGAGGATGCTCCTGAACTTGGCGGACAGAAGGAGGAAATTCCAAAAGAGGTAAAGTTAACTCTACCTAAAATGAGAAAAGTGACCCTTGTAACAATGATAGGACCCCTTGAATACTTACAGACTAGAGTCACATTGCCAAGGCAGCCTTTGGACTTTGTGCATTTTACAGCTAGAGTCCTAGCATCAGTGAGAGAGTCAACCACTCTTGACCCTTCCATATGTGAGGGAAGAAGAGTGAGTCCTAGGCAAGTGTGTTCTTTGCAAAGGGCACACACAAAACTTGGGTCTGTTACAGACATCCTGTCAGTCCCAACAGTTCTACCTTCATTTTCTGCTGTAACAGCAGCAATGATCACAAGAAGGGAGAAGACACTAACAGTGTCCTGGATGGACTTCACCCTACCCTGCAATTCAAAGTCTAAACAGCTGCAAATTGATTGTCTTACCCGGTATCCTCCTCATGGCCAACTCTCAGAGAAATTATTATATTTCTGTTTGTCTCCACATATCTGATTTCAACTGTGAACCTCTGGAGGAGAGGAACAGCGTCCTGTGAACATATGGCCAGTTCCAGCAAGCAAGAGTCCAAGCTCCCAGGCAGGATGGGGCTATGCAGGCTGAACTCACATCTGTCTGGGAGCCTACTGGTGTTCAGGAGGAAAATGTCCCCTGTGAGGAGAAAAAAAAAAAAAGAAAAAAAAAAAAAAAGAAAAAAAAAGAGACACACAGTGTGGATGGAAGAGAGATAATAAGAGAAACAGATAAAGACTTTGAAGAAAGCAATCATGAGAAGAAAGGAGAGGACTATGCACAAAACAAACCCTCCCCCCAAAAAAATAACATAAAGCAGAGAAAGGAGAATAAAGTAAAAATGAGGGAAATAAGTAAAGAAGTGATAGAAGGAATAAGAAGAAATCAAACAAAGCAGAGTGAAGACATGTCCAACAAAACAAAAGCCAAAGACCTTGCAAGTCAGACAGCAGACATGTGGAGCCAGCCCTGGCTTGTAAAGGATTGAGTTTCCTAAGAAAAATCCAGTCTCTGTAAGCAAAAGTAGCTTATCCTAAAACAGGGAGGTACAAAACAAGTATATAAAGGGGCTGGCTGTTTACAGAGTACATACATAGACAACTCAGGCAGCACACATATATATTATATGGCTCTTAGTGACTCTTGGGCACTGACAATGCACTTGCGAGCTGTGCACCAGAACCAGCCTATGGCAGTATTTTTAGTGACATGTGCCTGAGGCCTCAGCCTGCTGGCTCCTGTTGCTGCCACCCAAAGCTGCTCCCAGTGCCAGGAGAAAGCAGATGTCCATTTGAAGGGAACTGTAACTCTGCCTACCTTCAACATCTCCACGGGAGGAACTGTTTTCCAGAAGCAGCTGCTGCCTCTCCTGGGACACCAGGACACCAACTGACGATAATACCCAGTCCGGTTTTCCAAAACTGTCTGTAGACGTCACCCATGAACAGCTTGAGCCGATGACACAAGAGATTTCTGTTATGAGAAACCAAAGGTTTCATTGAGGCCTTCCCCAGTTCAAGGGGCAGAGGTGATGCAGGCACATGAATAAGCAGAGGTACAGTGTATGGGGACTATCTCTCCCAAGAAATGGAAGAGTTGAAGGGAAAAAAGAAAGTTTGTCTTGTCCAATAACAACAGAGTCTCTCACAAGGTGAGTAAAGGAACATGCCAGAATGAAAAACAACCCTGCAAATTCTTGGCAGGTGTAAATCAGCATCCTCCCACCGGTATGAACAGTGAATTTACATCAGTGGAAGGTCTAGCTCACATGTACATAAAATCTTGAATGAGAATAATACCTAGTGCAGCAAGGATATTGCAACTGTATGGATTTAGCATTTTGGCAGAGAGGAACAAATGAAATTCTAAGGTCAACCCTCTCTCATCAATAGAAAGAGCTTGACAAGGTCTCAAGCACAATAGCTGAGCTATGCAAGCTTTACATATTTTTTTATTTTTAAACAGTTTTTCTTTCTTCCAGAAGGATGGACAAGAACACCTTCTTAACAAACTCCAGAGTCCATTTGCAGCACTCAGAACACTAGATCACCCTGGCCAGAATTTTTCATAATCAGCATATTATAAACCAGACAAGAAGTAATTCACTGTTCTCTCATCAATCTAATATAAACTCCCTGAAGGGATGTTAGCTGCACAAAGATCTCCCACGCAGAGTGGGGCTGAATAGTTATGTTAAGCTGATATTAACTTGCATGATATTTATTTTCAGTAGTAATAATAATATTACAGTAATAACTGAAGGACCCCCAGGCCATATGAGAAATAATAAGAGACTAAACATTTGTATTGGGATCCTGATGTTCTGAGGATATTCAGACCTTGCAAACATGAATGACACAATGTTATCCCTTTGGCTGCCCTATTCCTGCGGAGAAGACAGGTATAAAGAACAGAACTAAAGTCAGTGATATAACAAGGATAGGTGTTTGCACAGGCAACACAGGTAGGGCAGAAATAAAAATGTAAGAGCCTCCAGAAGATTGCCTATACTTTAACTAAACTTTCAGAGAAAGAAGAAATGGAAGCACCTTTTGAATGCAACAGCCAAAGTAGACAAGTTTTCCCAATTTTCAAAGTTAATTGTAACTACGTTTTTATAAAACACCACCCAGTGTGCAGGGGTAACAGAAACACAGATGTTACAGGGATGTGCATCACTGTGGCTTGGGACAGGCTGTGAACTCCCACCTGAACACACACCCTCCCCTCCAGTTCCTCTGCACGCTCCCCAGCCCTGTCTGGCCTGCTTGCCACTGCAGGGTACTGCCTCTCTCAACCTACCAGCCAGGCCAACCACCTGAAGAGCTTCCCAGCCCACCTCATCAAATCCATACAGCTTAGCAAAGGTCTACTGCACTGGTCAGCCCACCGTTTTTAGATGGAAGCCGCAAGCAGCTGAACTGGCAAATTGTGCACAGGTGTGTGTGTGTGCACGCACACGTATGCAATGCCAGCTTCCAGCAGGGCACGGGAAGGAGGACACCAGCCACTCTCCTGGCTTTAGGGAAAAACGCCTGTGTGCAGCTTCAGGCTATGGTTTGATGACGCAGTGAAACAGCTTTCACGATCTCAATAGCTCATTAACTTCATGGCAGTGTGAGACAAAGCAGAGTCTTGATCCAGACCTGCTGTGCTGTTTCAAATTTATTAAAGTTTGACAGGTTAACTCAGTACCCACAGACTTATTGTCAATAGTAGAAATATTTTTATCAGGCAAAAATCTATTTGGTCATAAAACCCAGAAAGCAATTTCTCTCACAACAGCATGACAGTACAAAAAAGCAAAGTGAGAGCTCAGAAAAGAAAAAATGTCTTCTCTTTTTTAAATGGAGGGTTACCTGAAACTAATATTTATGAGAAAATCATTTAATTAAATCTTACCAATAACCCTACTTGCAGTAGCAAGAACCGTACCAGTGTAGACATAATCCTTTAAACGTGACTCACATAACAAAGCACTTTGCAGCTCAGATAAGTGAACACAACATTCTCCTTCAAAAGCAACTAATTCTCATACTCTCTGGGCTGTATAAAGCCTATCTGCCACAGCCTGAGGCTGGAGAGGATCTGAATGCCTGGAAGAGTCTGAAATAGATCAGGAAAGTCGTTGACATCCGGTAAAAAAAAAAAGACTCAGAGCTTTCTGTCAACAGATCATCATAGACTGGTTTGGGTTGGTAAGAACCTTAAAGACCATCCAGTCCCAACCCCCCTGCCCCGGGCAGGGCCCCCTTCCCCCAGCCCAGGGGGCTCCCAGCCCCGTCCAACCTGGCCTTGAACCCTGCCAGGGAGGGGGCAGCCACAGCTGCTCTGGGCACCCTGGGCCAGAGCCTCACCCCCCGCACAGGGAAGGATTTCTCCCTTATATCTAATCTAAATCTCCCCTCTTTCAGTTTAAAACCATTACCCCTCATCCTATCCCCACAGCCCCTGACCCAGAGTCCCTCCCCACCTTCCCTGCCCCCCCTTTAAGCACTGGGAGGCCACTCGAAGGGCTCCCCGGAGCCTTCTCTTCTCCAGGCTGAACCCCCCCAACTCTCTCAGCCCGGCCTCCCAGGGGAGCTGCTCCAGCCCCCCCAGCATCTCCGTGGCCTCCTCTGGCCCCGCTCGAGCAGCTCCGTGTCCTTCTGCTGTTGGGGGCCCCCGAGCTGGCCCCAGCACTGCAGGGGGGTCTCCCCAGAGCGGAGCAGAGGGGGAGAATCCCCTCCCTGGCCCTGCTGCCCCCCCCTGCTCTGGCTGCAGCCCAGGGCATGGGTGGATTTCTGGGCTGCGAGTGCACATTGTTGGCTCACAGGCAGTTTTCCATCCGCTAGTTCCCCCAAGTCCTTCTCTGCAGGGCTGCTCTCAACCCAGTCATTGCCTGGCCTGTGTTTGGGATTGCCCTGACAATCACATGCATCGCATTCTGATGGAAAGATTGATCAACAACAAGCTGTTTTTTAGCATAAATCACAGAGCAAAAGAACTGGGTACACTGATGTGGTAACAGTGACAGAGAACACTGAAAGCTGCAGGCTCTGGCACTACTGTGTACCACCTTACATATGTTTCAATCCGGCCTTGTTTAGCATCTATGAACTTGGAGAACTTCAAATGCAGGTCTGCAGAAAGGCATAATGTCATAGAAATTAAAAGGAAAAAAGTAAAATAGAGAAATACATCTATACTACTACAATCAGCAAATGACATATTTTAAGATGTTACAAAAGTGCTCTGAAGAAGCTTAGATTGAAAAAAGCTCATGGACATTCCAGAGTATGTCAGAAAGGAGAATCACCCTTTAAAGAACTGGATACCATCTGTAAGATGTTCTGATAAGAACTCCTCTCTGGCAAGGCTAGGTCATTTTGCCACCTTGTGAGGAATATATGTGACTTTTCTAACATGCATGGGTCTTTTATTATTGTTTAGCACCTTCATTAATGACCTGGACAAGGTGTCAGAGTGCACTCTCAGCAAGTTCACTAGGGCTACAAAACAGAGAGGAGCAGGTGACACACCAGATGGCTGTGCTGCCATTTGGAGCAACCTAGGCAGGCTGGAGGTTGGGCTGATAGGAATCTTTTGGAGTTCGACAGAAGGAAATGCCAAGTCCTGCAGTTTGGGAGGAATAACCCCTGGCACCAGTACATGCTGAGGGCTGACTGGCTGAAAAGCAGCTCTGAAGAGAAGGACTTTGGGGTCCTGGTGGACAACAAGCTGTCCACGAACCAGCAATGCAGCCTTGTGACAAAGAAAGCCAACAGTCTTCTGGGCTGCATTAGAAAGAGCACTGCCAGCTGAATGAGAGATGTGATCCTTCCTTCCTACTCAGCTCTGGTGAGACCACAACTGGAGTACTGTGCCCAGTTCTGGGCTCCACCATATAAGAAAAATACAGACTTACTAGAACAAGTCCAACATAGGTCCACAAAGATGACTGGGACTGAGGCATCTTTCATAAGAGGCTGACAGAGCTGGGACTGTTCAGCCTGTTGAAGAGAAGGCTCAGGGGCATTTTATCAATATGTACAAACACCTGGTTGGAGGGAATGAAGATGCCAGACAGTTCTCAGTAGTGTCCACAGACAGGACAAGAGGCAATGGGCACAAATTAAAAAACAAAACAAAACAAAACAGGAAATTTAATCTGAACACAAGAAAACACTTTTTTACCATAAGAGTGGTAAAAGGCTGGAACAGGTTGCCCAGAGAAGCTGTGCAGACTCCATCTGTGGAGATACTCAACAGCCATCAGGACACGGTCATGGGCAACCTGCTCTAGCTGGCAGTACTCGAGCCAGTGGGGTTGGACTAGATAACCTCAGGAGGTCCATTCCAATCTCAACCATTCTGCCATTATTCCTCTAAATGAAAAGGCATCACTTCAATTTCCAAGTTGTCACACTACTGATAACTGGGTCATTTCTCTTAGGCATTTATAAAGTATAGTGTTTGCTTCATCTATCCTAGCACCACAGTAAGACCAAATTCATCCTACCTATCTCACAAGCATTTTGTCAAGCTCACTGAGTTTCTACAATGCCTAGAAAAAGAGAATTCCAGTTGAAAAAAAACACTTCATTTGGTAACAAAGAAGGTAGTTTGTTCTATAGTTGCTGGAAAGCAGCTCCACTAATTAGCTTTTATTTCAAGAATTCCCAACCCCAAATCTGGTGGATTTCACTGTGCTGTTGAAGAAGATTATTCTTTTCCTTTCCTTTATTTATTTTTTAATTATATTTTCTTTTTAAATAAGGAAGTAAGGGTCTCCCTTAGGGTTACACTGGCCTTTCTGAGTCATTCCTCCATTTCCAGTCAGAAATTCAGTGGCACAACTTTCTGGTAAAGGGTCCTTGTGACTGCCAGTATCTATCTTGAACCTAGATTCTGAAGTAGAATTAAGGAGGATATAAGGAATGGGAGTTGTGGTACCTGGTTTAGAAGTCTGGTGCAATGAAACCATCCTGTTTTTTATGAGGGAGAGCTTCTGAAGTGGATTTGGTGAAGAGTTTTCTTCATGTGATCCAGAACAGGAGACAACAACTATAAAAAACCAAACAAACAAACAAACAAAAACAAAACCAAGCAAACAAAAAACAACAAAAAGAACAGGGAGTTTGATGTGTCTATACAAAATTATGCTCCCATATTGTTAAGCATGAACATATATTTAACAAAGCCCTGTTTTATTACACTCACTCTCATCACAGTTTACTGGTGCAGTACTGTCCCAATGATGTTTCAATATAGCCCTACCACTTCCCAGAAATATAACAAAATATTTTACTTAATAACATGTTCTTTACTATTCTTTATCCACTCCTGTTTTTACTAATATATAATGTCTAAAGAGACACCGTATATTCCAGTAGTGCCCATGTTGCAGTAACAGTACATCTAGCTGCCTACCAACAACTACACTTCTAAAGCATTCAGGTTAAATGGGGCTTTGAGCAACCTGATCTAGTGAAAGATGTCCCTGCCCATGGCAGGGTGCTTGGGCCAGATGACCTTTAAAGGCCCCTTCTTACACAAACTGTTCTATGATTCTATTACTAGCAGAAAAGCTTAACTGTAAAATACACGCTATCTATATAATACATGACACGGATTTATTAGCAATGTTTTGGGAGGACCTGAGTAAGTGCTCTCATCTTCACCACACAGGAAAACCCCATTTGAAACTAATAGTAATGAAACCTTTGTATCACTGCACAAATGCAGAGAAGAGAGTTCTTTCTTACTGCCAGGCATGAAGGCTGGGATTTTTTAAGGAATCAGGTAATTTTCCTGTATCTGATATCTAATAATACCTACTCTGTCCAATACCTTTCTTATTAATCCCCCTGCACTGCTCTATCTCAGGGATTGCTTTGTCATATATCTATAAAAACCTTCACTGGTAACTGTGATATTTAATCATAATTATGGCACCAACACACACACATTTGTGACTTTTTATTCAGTTCAAATCTTAGAGTCCTGATGTAAAGTTAGTTGAGCTGGAAAAAAAGACCAATATTCTAGAAGATATAAAAGGCCGTAGAAATTATGTTATACTTCACCAATATGAATATCCGATCTAGCATGCTAAGATTAGTTGGTTTTAAAAGGAGGTGTTCTTCTGGATCAAATTTTTGTTATTCAAAGTAAAACAAATTTACCAAAATTATTATCCATTGTAGTACTTCTGACAAGTAAATATTCAGTACCTTCTGACTTCTCTTTGGGACAACTCATACCAACAATGGCTTTTTTTATTTATCTAACCTGTGCATGTGAAAATACACAAGTCCCAAACTAAGCATGCACTAACCTCTATTTAAGATTGTTGCTGGTCTTTTCTTTTCCAGAAATCATAAACAAATTGACTAAAGCCAACATATTTATTTTCAAAAGGTGTTCAAAGACAAACAGGTGCAAAATGAATTGCTTTCAACCTCAACCATGTGAGTTATGAATTCAGCAATATAAAAATATGAAAGCATGTCAAAGGAGACAGGAATCCTATTCACATGAATTGCAGTTGAGATAAAGATGTATATACATACCATTGATAACAGCTAAGATATTCTCAGCAGAACTAATTTGAACAGTGATATTATGAAAATATTCAGAAGGAAAAAAAATAAAAAGAAAACAAACAAACAAACAAAAAACCCCAAACTTGAACATATCTTCGACCTTTGCAAACTTACCACTGCTTTCAGTTTTTCAGCAACATCTGGTCTGATTTTAAACTGTTAAAATTATGTTCATTTCAATATATATGACAATGCGCATCACTCAGTGAATAAAATGCTGTGAAATGTTTCATATCATGAGAATGCTGTATCCTTCCATCTTTTATTATAGTATTAAAGACAACCATCAGTCTTCCTGGGGTTCTCAGGAAAGGATAACTTTAGAACAAAACAGCATCATGCTGCAGCAGACACACGCAGTACTGATGGCAGACCTGTGGTCTCCACAATCCAGTTGTCAAACACTGCATTTTTCTCCTTCTTCTGTGTTCAAATATGTAGGGATGTTAATGCTGGAAAAGCTGATTCTGCACTGTATATAAGACACCGACACCGGTCTGCTAAGTAAGGTATCTTCAGTAATGGGATGAAATCCTGAAAAAGAACCTAAACTCTTATGTGGCACTTAGCTGGCCAAAGTTTGGCCAGCTTTATGAAAGGCTTGCCTTAAGAAAAATCTGTGCTAAAAATCAATCACATATTGCAAACGACTCTATTTCACTATATTAAAAGAAATTCTGCTATGGAAAGAGAACAAGAGCTTTTGACAACTTGAGTCTGCTCCTCTCAATTTATGTTGTGTGTCTGTTGAGACGTTGCTCAGTTCTATATCTCCCGATCTTTGTTAAGCACTGCTGTAGGTTCAATATTTACAGTATTTACTTCCCTCAGGGCTTTCTGTAAAGACTGTTCCACCCACTCACCTTCTCACACGCTCCAAGTTGCTCGTGTATTTTGGAAATAGACTGAATATCATGGGACCCACAAAACATAGTACAGTCATAGCAGAAGTTCTGCTACAGACATTCCTTCTGACAAAACTAAAACTTAATAAAAATATTTGACTTGCACTCCTCTCTTCCCCTCCCTCCTCCCCCATTATATAAACACCTTTGGGACTTTTCTCTTCTTTCTCATTAGCAAACACAAGTTCCAGTGGCAGACTACCATGAACAGAGGCCTAAGCTACTTAAAACATGAATTTACTGCTTTAGTGTGAAAAAAAAAAAAATCCATTGCCATTGGTGATGGCTGAGACAAACAAGGTACAAAAGCCTTTTTATACCATTGAGATAAGAGTCTACAAAGTTGGCTGGTCTGGTATTAAGATATATTAAAACTTAACTACTGCTTTGTCACAAAGTACACTGCATGAAACTTGATCTCCTAATTACGTTATCCACTGTGCAGACTGTCAGCAACATCCTATTCAATTCTGGCAAAAAGCCAAGAGGTTTCATTCAAATGCCTGGTAACAACCCTATTCCCCTTCTCTGGGAAGATGCCACTTACTGAACTGGGCATAGGAGAGGAAGGAAAGGCAGTAATTACAACTGAGCTCACTGAGAAACAAAATACACTTGGACAGAAGACCCTAGACTCAGTGATAGGCATGGAATTTGTTCATATGCACCCACAAAAACATGCCCTCATTCATTTGCTTCCTCATAGCAAAGAATTTCTGGCTGTGGCTGAGTAGAAGAGGACTTACAGTATGATGAATCCTTGAATGACATCTGGACAGTGGTTCTGTAACACTCCAGTCCAGCCTACACTCTTACTTTATATCTCAATTGTTTTTCTCTCTCACTCATTCAACCTCTCTTACTGACCTGAAAATCTAGTGCACCCAGTCACTAAAAGAAATTCTTTTTCACTTTCTTTTGAAGCTGGGAACTCCAGAGATGCTTCCAATAGCCCCACGTCATATCCTCTCTTACATGCTTGTATGTAATTCTTGTATGACACCAATTTCAGCATTAAGCAAATAAAAAAGACTATCGCTTATAAACTACATGATTTCCCTGTCTTGATCGGCAAAAGGCAATGATTTAAGTGAAAAGAAATAAAAGATAGAAAGAAATGAGATCAGTGAATTTAAGCTAAGTCTGCCATTGAGGAACATAAAATGATCAGGAAAAAAACAGTAAGTGTAACAATACTCAACTGTCACAGCAAAAATCCAGGATCTTTTAACAGCATAGCACAAATCCATCACTTTTTCTGCAATAAAACACAGTAAAATCTGAAGCCTCCAGCAATCAGAAGGTAATTCCATTTCTTTCAGTATCTTACAAAAAAAGTATCCGGACACCGGCAGAGCTGAAATTTTTCCTGAATCTTGGTGCTACTTTGCAGAAGAGAAGAAAACTACAGAAAATACTTATAGAACTCATGATGGGAAATTAATTCCAAGTCAAAGTCATCTTCTTTTAGAGCATTAAAGGAATTTCCTTTAGAGCATTTTCTAGTGTTTTTTTTCCCATCTAATATCAAAATAGCAACTCAGTACTTCTCACTGCTTCTGTGAGAAGATAAACTGATGTACAGACTAATAGATCTGACTGTCAGGAAGTCAGACTAGACAAAAAGAAGACTCTTTGTCTACTACCTATCCTAGTATTGTTCAATTACTCCTAAACCTTCCTCTTTCAGCTCAGTAAATAATCTCTCTCCTTCATTAGTATTTACAGCTTTAAGTTATTAACCTTTCACCTTGAAATTGTCACTGTGATCTCCTGCTGCTTGCTATTAAACTCTTTTATTTTTTGCTCATTAGTTGGTTTGTCCCCATGTCCCTTGCTTACTTCATCTCCCTTTTTGTACTCAGTCCAGATAAATTGCAGGTATTGGTCAAAAGGGAGTTGGCAAAAGGTCAAAAGGTATTGGCAAAACACAGTTTTGCAAAAGCTTAGTATGTGAGGTGATACTTCAGGATCTTCATGGAGCCTTCTCCAGTTTTTCAGGGTTCTTGGTGAAAGGCAGGCATCAGTGCACACTAATGCCATGCTATGCAGAATGGCCCTTCTGCTCCCTCCTGAGATCTCCCTGTTTATCTGTGCAACGATCTCATCAGTCATTTTGGCCAAAAAGAATCCTCTTAGTTGATCATCCACCATGACATCAAGACTTTCCCTGGCCTATTTCCTTCAGAATAGGAATTCCCACCCTCCATATCTATATCATTTCCCTTTCAGATAGCTGATTTTATTGCATTAGTGAGTTGGACTCTGCCTTATTTTTTCCTATCTTAATCTTTATGTTACCAGCAGATCACTAGTACAGTTTTTATGTTGTCTTCTGACTTACTGCTAAAACTATTAAATAGCACATAGCCTGGAATGTATACTTAGAGGAAACTTACAAGCAGAGTTAATCAACAGTAATTCCTATCTATACCTTTATTTTAAATCTACATGTGACACAGTGATTTGTATCATGCAGTAAAGTACGTATCAAGAGTTATCACTTTAAGTACGTGACTGAAGTTGGAATGTCCTACATCCACATTATGAGTTT